TCCACAAGTCGAGTGGGCCTGACGGAATCCCCCCAATTGTGCTGAGGACGTGTGCTCCGGAGTTGGCACCGGTTCTAACGCATCTTTTCCGGTACTCCTACTCCCTAGGCGTAGTCCCGAAATCATGGAAGACAGCTTTTGTCCACCCGATCCCTAAAAAAGGCGACCGCTCAGACCCGTCCAACTACAGGCCTATCGCCATCACCCCCTTGTTCTCCAAAATAATGGAATCCGTTGTAAACTGCCACCTCATGCGGTACCTTGAGGATCACCAGCTGATTAGTGACCGCCAGTACGGTTTTCGTCGGGGTTGATCAGCTGGTGATCTTCTGGTCTACTTAACTCATAGATGGGCGTTGGCAGTAGAGTCCAAGGGGGAGGCATTGGCCGTTAGTTTGGACATTGCGAAGGCCTTCGATCGGGTTTGGCACAAAGCGCTTCTTTCGAAGCTCCCTTCCTATGGGCTTCCCGAGAAATTATGCAATTGGATCACCAGCTTCCTTGCAGATCGGAGCATCAAGGTCGTTGTAGACGGTGCATGCTCCGACTACAAGCCTATTAACGCTGGTGTTCCACAAGGCTGCGTGCTATCACCAACGCTGTTTCTTCTGCATATCAATGATATGTTGCAAGCCGGTAGCATTCATTGCTATGCGGATGACAGCACTGGTGATGCTCTATACACCGGCCGTGCCAATATTTCTCGGGAAAACGTCACTGAGTACCGGAACAAACTTGTGTCTGAAGTCGAGTCTTTGCTGGACAAAGTCTCGGATTGGGGGCGACTAAATCTAGTCCAGTTTAATCCTCAGAAGACACAAGTTTGCGCGTTTACCGCTAAAAAGAACCCCTTTGCCGTATCTCCTCAGTTTCAAGGTACTCCCCTTGTTGCCTCAGCTAGTATCGGAATCCTCGGCGTCGACATATCGAGTAGCGTGCAGTTTCGTGGTCACTTGGAAGAGAAGGCCAAATTGGCTTCTAAAAAGCTTGGCGTGCTCAGCAGAGCGGGACAGTACTTCATGCCGGCTCAACGCCTACAACTTTACAAGGCGCACGTTCGGCCTCACATGGAATACTGTTCCCATCTCTGGGCTGGGGCTCCCCAGTGCCAGCTTCTTCCACTTGACCGCATCGAGCGCAGAGCGGCTCGAATCGTCGACGACCGAGTCCTTTCCGATCGGCTCGACTCATTGGCACTGCGAAGAGATGTTGCATCTCTTAGCATTTTCTTTCGCATTTACCATGGGGAGTGCTCTGAGGAATTGTTCGGATTAATCCCAGCCGCTAAATTTCACGAACGCACATCGCGGCAGAACTCCCGATACCATCCACACCATCTGGATGATTGGCGGTCCACCACTGTGCGATTTAGAAGGTGTTTTCTTCCTCGCACAACTTCCTTGTGGAATAGTTTACCACCAGCGATTTTTCCGGACCGATACGACTTAGGGACCTTCAAGAAAAGAGCCTACTCCTTTTTAAAAGGCCGGCAACGCATCTGCAATTCCCCTGGTGTTGCGGTTGTTCATGGGCGGCGGTAGTCACTTACCATCAGGTGAGCCGCATGCTCGTTTGCCCCCTCTCCTATAAAAAAAAAATACTACTCATCCCCATATCCGAAGCCTCGGTCAGGTCGTCTGTGACGTGTAAAAGTGCAGTTTCTGTACCATGACCCCTGCGAAAGCCCGACTGAAATTTAGGTATTATATCTCTGGTTTCTAAGTAGTTCAGCACTTGATTTAACACTACTTTTTCTAAAACTTTAGATAGTACTGGCAAAATCGAAATAGGACGCAAGTCTTTTATTTCGGTAGGAGAATTTTTTTTAGGTATGGGCCTTACCAGTGCTCTTTTCCAACATGATGGAAAAGTATTTGTTTCAATTGACTTATTCAGTATCCTCGTAATAATTGAAAGAGTCACATCTAGAGTCAGCTTAATCATCCCTATACTAATGCCATCGTGCCCCTCTGCATTGGTCTTTATATTATTAATAATAACTTTTACTTCTTGTTCTGTAGTAGATTTTAGGACCAGCATGTCAAGCTCTGGTGTATCAATTAAACTAGTGAAGTTTTTTTGAACAACTGTTTCGTTACTGACTGGTAAATTCAAAAAGTGGTCGTTGATTTTATTGGGGTCATTAAGATGTTCAGGAATTATGGATTTGTGCACGTAATCAAACTGGGTACTGTTTTTTATGTTTTTCCAAAGTAGAGTCGGATTTTTCATATTGTTATTTACAAAATTGTTATAGTAGGCTTTTCGTTCTCTTTCAATTGTTGCGGTAACAAAATTTCTTATATTTCGGTAATAATCTTTCGAGCTGTCTTTTTTGTCTTTCTGCGCTTTCGTTAGAGCTTTATCGCAAAGTTTCATCATAAATTTAACCATGTTTGTAATCCATGGGTTAGGCTTATCTTTGAGAACAACCTTACGAATTGGTGCATGTATGTCAAATAATTTTATTATATACATGTTAAAAGTTTTAACCATTTCATCTACATTGTGTAGATTATATATAGATTCCCAGGGAATAAGTTTTAAGTCCTCTGTAAACTTATCTTGATTTATATTATATAATGGTCGTTGAAATCTTACTTCTTTGTTTAACTTGGGTTTTTTTGATATCTAAATCAACAATTACTAATGTATGGTCACTTAAACAGTGGTTATGTATCACATCAATATTTTTGCATTTTAAAGGGCTGTCAGTCATAACGAGGTCTATTATGGTTTGGGAATGGTCGGTGATTCTAGTCGGTTCTTTTAGGAGTTGCTGAAGACTGTGATGATAACAAAAATGCTTAAGTTCTTTCACCTTTGAAGAGCTTACACAAGCCATATCAATATTGAAATCGCCCAGGATACATGTGATGTCACATCGTGCCATAGAGTTCATTGTCTCACTAAGTGCATCTAGAGTTTCTTGAACACTAACATACTCCGGTCTATATGCTGTACCGATTGCCATAGTGGTTCCTGGTAGTTGAACTTCTAGCCACATTTGTTCCAGTGGAGATCTTGGATGTTCTCGTATCCTTGTACTTATATTGTGCCTTACATAGAAGCCCACTCCTCCGCCTTTTTTAACCTGTCTTGCTCTATGTATAAATTTGTAGTTCGGTATCACTGGTGCCAGTGCCTCCTCTCCTGCCTTTAGCCAGGTTTCATTAAGGGCAAGGATAAGGAGTAGTTAAGAAAAGTTACAAATAATTCTTCTTTTCCGGTATTTATTGATCTAGCGTTTAATAACCCTAATCTCAAATAATTTTGCTTTAAGCTAGACATTATCGTGCGTCACGGTTAATACATTACTAGGATAAAAGCTATAAAGATAAACGTTACGTTGTAAGTGAGTGTGATCTATTTGTGTGAATGTGTAGAGTGTGAGTGTATTTGTTTGTGTTGCAAGAATATATCTTAAAAGTATATTACATCTTAAAACATAATCTATATTAATATAACAAAAACGTTTATATAATAGTTTAAATTAAATGAAATCAGAAGACATATGAGATCAAATATCACGTGTTCCAAAAACCCTAGAGAGGTCTGTTTCAGTGCGCAACCGATGTCGCGGTTTCCCTTGGTCCTTACGTGCGTAGATTATTAACATTATTTACTTCGTCATATTTTAGTAATTGTCGTTTTAATTTGAAAATTAATGAAGTATCATCAGCGGATAATACTAAACCATGGTTGTCCTTTACTATGTAAGTCTTTAATATATACAAGAAACAGGAAGGGGCCGAGAATTAAGTACTAAAGCACGCCCTTTTGTACTATTAACCCGGAAGAACTCATACTACTAATAACAACTTTTTGCGTTATGTTACTGAAATATGAAATAATACATTTAAGAGCATCACTTCTTACAAAGTAGTGTTGAAGTTTCCTGATTAATGTTTCATGGTGAACACAATCGAAGGCTTTGGATAGGTCACAGAATATATCCAAAATATCCTGTGAGGCATCCTATGCATTGAAGATATATTTAATCAGCTCAACACCAGCATCTGTTGTCGAGCGACCCCTTGTGAAATCGAATTGTTTTTTATGAAGTGAATTAATTACATTAAAAAAATTACGTTTGATCAAGAATAATTTTTTCAAAAATTTTACTAAGTGTCAGCAGTACAGAAATAGGTCTAAAACAGGTTGGGTCCAATGTACTAACTACCAGATTTAAATAAAGTTATTACTTTACTTTGTCAGATTCGATAGTATTAAAAATGATAGCTAGTTGAGGTGCGATTGTATATATATTATAGACGCAATAACTTTAACGGGATTCTACCACAGATCAGTGGTTTTCTTAATATCAATAATTTTAAAATATTCTAAAACATCTTTGATGATATTCCATTTTGTTTAAGTAATGATTTGATGACGGCAGGAGAAGAATTCAGTGATTTAGTGGTTAAGATAGGAATATCAGTAAAATATTTCGCACAAACCATTGCAAAGTCCAGATCTGATTTAGTTAATTTGTAGTTAAAACTTAACTGGTAGTTAAAATTGCGAGACTTGACCGAAGCGAAGTGAAACTGGTAAAGTTTCACTTTTAATTATACTCCATGTCAATTTAATTTTATTAGAAGCCGTCTCAATTTTGTTGCTCAAATTGAAAGACTTGGCTATGGAGCACACTCTTTTAAATATTTTTAATATTTTTTTTTCATCTTCCTTATATTCGACGCTAAAATTTCATGGTAAAGTTCATATAACCTTTGTCTGCTTTTATGGGCTCCTAAAAGCATGAACACCCTTAAAGGTGTTGAAGAAAGATCGATTTGTTAAAAAAGAAGTAGAAAGGAAATCAATTTGAAATCAATCACTTTGATTTTAGTAGTCAAATAAGTTTGTTCATAAACTCAATATTATTAAATAAAAATATAAAAGGAGCAAAAACTGATCCCTGTGGTATACCATCTATGATAAATAATTTACAAGCACCTTATGCTATAAAAAACTGGACAGGGAACGGAATAAAATACCTTTTTGCCAGAAAGACGGAACTTTTCCTTCAAAAATGCATGTGTACATGACTTCCAACATCTCCGACATAACCACGAGACCTTCAATCGCTCGACGTAGTTCCTGTAACAATGAAAGATAGACATCAACTATGCACGAATTTGTTTTAAATAACTATTAGAAGTCTATTCTTTTGTTTTCGCTAGTGGCTTACCTTCAACCCTGATACAATTTCGGTTATAAGCACATTATAGTATCCAATTTCCTGCAGCAAGGACACGCACATCGGCATTACGATCTCGGGTCCCATTAACCTCTCGGTCGTCTCAAGATCAATTTTACTTGGTAGTTTGTTCAACATCTCTGCTGCTAACTCGTCCACCTGTAAACAAAAGTACCGATTTAGTAAACATTTTATTTATCAATTACCTCATGCACATAATATACTCATATTAAAATATTAACTTAAAAAGTGATCCCTCGAGCCGGATTACTGTTTTTGTTATGGTGAATATTCTTATCAATTTACCTAAAAGTATTTTATCACAAACTGCTTTGTTTTCTCCTCCTCATCAAATCGTAACAGCCCACTTTTGGACAGAGTTTCTACCATTGCAGTGAGTAACATATACATAATATAAGTTTGACATGTTTTAAAGAATTATCTTTTAATCAGACAGTCTCCGGATGGGGCGATGCTAATATTGTAAAATTCAACGCCTCCAAAACACAAGCGTGTCTCTTCACTCCAAAAAAGAGCCCTTCTTTGGCTCCATCTTTTCGAAATGTATCACGGGAATACACCTTCAGTTGTTGGGGGTTGAGATATCCTCAAATATGAACTCGGGCGGTTTATTAGGTCCAAGACCAAAGCTAGCTGGGAGTCCTTGCAAAGGTGTGGCGATACTTCACGCCGGGACAGCTGCTTACTTTATATAAAGCGCAAGTCCGGTCATGTATGGAGTATTGCTGCCATATATGGGCTGGAGCTGCAAAATGTCACCTAGCAGCTTTGGACTCAATGGAAAGGCATTACAAGAGGCTTATTGGTGACGAATTTGATTAAAAGAAGTGGTAAGATTACCAGCCTCGAACACGGGCGCAAAGTAGCCAGCCTTACAGTTTTCTACAGAATGTATTTCGGAGAGTGAGCGCAGGATTGGCATAATTTAGTTCCTCCCTCTCCCTTCCACCATCGGACAACCAGAAGTTCAGCCAGTCTCCACCCTTTCGTTGTTGACTTACCACGCATTCGAACCAAATAGTTTGTTCGTTCATCATGCGTACAGCAAAGGATTGGAATAAATTTTCAGCATCTGTCTTTACACCCGATTACAGTGTGGGTGTCTTCAAGGCAAGAGTGTATGGGCTTCTGTTAAGTCAGTGCGCTTCAACATCTTAGACTACATGACCGCTTACTATGAGGTGGGATTGTAGTTAAGCGCTGGCTTAGAATAATATTAAAAACATTTAAACAATTAAAAACAAATTCAAAATTCCTCAACTCAACTCAACATTTTATTAACTGTCCGTGAAAACGCGAGAGACGAGGTTAAAGAATGAGAGGATAAGTATATATATTCAATGTTCAATTAGCGTACCTTTTGGTCTTCACCGCCCGCAGCACCTCCAACTCCAGTCGATGATAAAGAAAATAGAGTGGAGCACATGATCGTTGCATCCTATTAAAGAAATACAATAATAATAATAATTTATTATTTCAAGCAGAGACTATCTTAATATCTAGGATACAAACACTTTGAGATACAGATTAACAATAAATTCAATTCAGAGAACATCTGTGTCTGAACTAGATAACTTAATATCTGTTTCAGACAGCAGCGCTCTTCCCTTCAAGATTATACATTTCACTGTATACAAAACAGATCACTTGTCAATAAGTAATTTAAAGTTGTAGAGTGTAGATTGGCCTCCTTGTGTGTAGTATCACAGTGTGTGTATTTGTGTAGGAGGTTGAGTATAAGATTTAACGAGGTACATTAAGTAATTCTTCTGTTTCGTTATAGTTCAGTTTATGAATATATTCAAATAGTTTCCTTTTGCACTCTCTAATATTTAAGCTTCGTATCTCCACAATTTTGCTGATTTTAGAATATAGATATGGACCAAAAAAGGGAAAATATTTATGTGCGAATTGGTGTTTAAGTGTTGGTCTATTGGGTAAAAGTTATATCTTTGCGACGCTTGGAAATGGCAATTGTACCAGAGCTTGAGTGTTGTCTCATAATAATGAGCAGGATGAACAGTTGACGAACTGAGAGGACTTCACAAGATTGATACAGGATGTACGTAGGAAACAAATATAGAGCTATTCTTAAAGTGCTTACTTTAAGAATAGCTCTTTGAGCTATTTCAAGTGGTTTAATAGTCGTTTTGGTGCACTTCCCTATACAGTAAGGCCATAACCCACTATAGATTGTCCAAGAGCTAGGTAGATTTGTTTAACATATTTAGGATCTGCAACATTCCTTAAATATTTAAAGACGTATATCAGATTTCTCAAACTCGCAGTAATTAAATCAACATGAGGTTGAAAAATAAGATGTTTATTTATAAGAATACCAAGGTATTTATCCATATTAGTAGCTGTCAGTAGAGGGCAATGGCATACATCAACATTCAGCAATCATGCGCAATCAAAGAAAGTGAAGGAGTTGATGAGGTGGTTTTTCGCATAGAGAAAGGTATGAAGACGGTTTTATTGGCGTTTAAAGTCAACACATTGAATATTAAGCAGTGACACATAGTATTAAAGCCCTCCTGCGCCATTCTATAAACATCCTCCCACTTGTCGGCTGAGAACAAGAGCGCAGTGTCATCTGCATAAGTGATAATTTTGTCACCTTCTAGACGAAGATCACAAAGGTCGTTTAAATAGGCTAGAAAGAGAGTTGGCCCTAATATACTGCCTTGCGGCACACCATAAGTAATAGGTAGATCATAACTAGTATGTAATCAATCTTGGTGCATTGACAGCGATTTGAAAGATAATCTTCAATTAATTTTAGCTGATTACCTCGAATGCCCAGCCTGTCTAGTTTATTAAGTAGCATTGGCACCGAAACTGTGTCAAAGGCCTTTGCTAGGTCAACGAATATGCCTATTTTTTGCCTATATTCCTCACCACATGATCCACAAGTTCATGGACCGCATCATAAGTTTATTTGCCAGTTCTAAAACCAAATTGGTTATTTAACAATATACATCAAACTTCTACTTCAAGATACTGAATAAGCTCGTAATGCGTAGATCGGAACAAAATTAATCATTAAAACTAAAAAGGTAGCCGTTACAGCCTGAAAGTCCACTGCCGACCGACTGCAGAGGTTGTCTCGTGTTGGCGCTCGCGGCACGTGGTACGTGTTACGTGGCACGTGGTACGTGTTACGTGGCACGTGGTACGTGGTACGTGGCACGTGGTACGTGGTACGTGGCACGTGGTACGTGGTACGAGTTATGTATACCTGTGCGAGTGCAGCCACGTCCGCGGAGGCGTGCTGGCCCAGCGAGTCAGCGCGCTCGGCGGCCGGCAGCACCTCCACGAAGTCGCGGTACGACTGCAGGCTGCCGTCCCGCGGCACGTGGTACGTGGTACGTGGCACGTGGTACGTGGTACGTGGCACGTGGTACGTGGTACGTGGCACGTGGTACGTGGTACGAGTTATGTATACCTGTGCGAGTGCAGCCACGTCCGCGGAGGCGTGCTGGCCCAGCGAGTCAGCGCGCTCGGCGGCCGGCAGCAGCTCCACGAAGTCGCGGTACGACTGCAGGCTGCCGTCCCGCGGCACGTGGTACGTGGTACGTGGCACGTGGTACGTGGTACGTGGCACGTGGTACGTGGTACGAGTTATGTATACCTGTGCGAGTGCAGCCACGTCCGCGGAGGCGTGCTGGCCCAGCGAGTCAGCGCGCTCGGCGGCCGGCAGCAGCTCCACGAAGTCGCGGTACGACTGCAGGCTGCCGTCCCGCGGCACGTGGTACGTGGTACGTGGCACGTGGTACGTGGTACGTGGCACGTGGTACGTGGTACGAGTTATGTATACCTGTGCGAGTGCAGCCACGTCCGCGGAGGCGTGCTGGCCCAGCGAGTCAGCGCGCTCGGCGGCCGGCAGCAGCTCCACGAAGTCGCGGTACGACTGCAGGCTGCCGTCCCGCGGCACGTGGTACGTGGTACGTGGCACGTGGTACGTGGTACGTGGCACGTGGTACGTGGTACGAGTTATGTATACCTGTGCGAGTGCAGCCACGTCCGCGGAGGCGTGCTGGCCCAGCGAGTCAGCGCGCTCGGCGGCCGGCAGCAGCTCCACGAAGTCGCGGTACGACTGCAGGCTGCCGTCCCGCGGCACGTGGTACGTGGTACGTGGCACGTGGTACGTGGTACGTGGCACGTGGTACGTGGTACGAGTTATGTATACCTGTGCGAGTGCAGCCACGTCCGCGGAGGCGTGCTGGCCCAGCGAGTCAGCGCGCTCGGCGGCCGGCAGCAGCTCCACGAAGTCGCGGTACGACTGCAGGCTGCCGTCCCGCGGCACGTGGTACGTGGTACGTGGCACGTGGTACGTGGTACGTGGCACGTGGTACGTGGTACGAGTTATGTATACCTGTGCGAGTGCAGCCACGTCCGCGGAGGCGTGCTGGCCCAGCGAGTCAGCGCGCTCGGCGGCCGGCAGCAGCTCCACGAAGTCGCGGTACGACTGCAGGCTGCCGTCCCGCGGCACGTGGTACGTGGTACGTGGCACGTGGTACGTGGTACGTGGCACGTGGTACGTGGTACGAGTTATGTATACCTGTGCGAGTGCAGCCACGTCCGCGGAGGCGTGCTGGCCCAGCGAGTCAGCGCGCTCGGCGGCCGGCAGCAGCTCCACGAAGTCGCGGTACGACTGCAGGCTGCCGTCCCGCGGCACGTGGTACGCCGCCACGCTCGACAACCTGGTGGTAGTCAGTAGTCAGGTTACAACTCGACTCTGTTTCACGAACAAGTCACGCGGAAATATGCCATCTAGGCTCATAGGCATCATGTAAGGCTCTTTAACAGGTCACATTTGTCATTTAATCGAAATAAAACTTAAGACAGCGGCTACATAATATTATTTATTTTCTAGAAATTACAACGATACAACTTTTTCCATTTACTAAATTAATATATTTATATAAATAATTTAAAAGAAGTCAATTTTACTAATAAATCTTTGTAACCACAATATACAATTTAATTTTTTTTTATAGAAGAGGGGGCAAACGAGCATGCGGCTCACTTGATGGTAAGTGTCGACCGTCACCCATGAAAAACTGCAACACAAGGAGAATCGCAGGTGCGTTGTCGGCCTTTTAAAAAAGAGTAGGCCGTTTTCTTGAAGGTCTCTAAGTCGTATCGGTCCGGAAAAATCGCTGTTTTTTTATAAGACAAACGAGCACACAGTCCACCTGGTGGTAAGTGGTTACTGCCCATAGACATCTATATCTATCCTTGATTACGAATCAAAATGCAGATGCGTGGTCACCTGTGAGCACTAAGATTGAATGCCTCGTTTCCAGTAAAAAGGGTCTCCAGTTCTCTACACTCACCACGTTGGTATTTTATGAGAGCGTGGTCCTCCCCCGGTCGAGCCGACCCATTCGTGCCAAAACTATACTACTTATATAGCTGCAGCATGACTCTACCACGTAAAAAAGGTGGTAGTCGATTACACAAGAGGGTTGTGCGAGTTGTGTTCTATTCCAAATAAATTGAACGTTCTTACAAGGTTACGTCGGTATACCTTTTTCATTCATCGGTTCGAATGAGTATTCCTTAGGGGACCATGCGTGGTACATTTTTTTTAAAATTTAACAAAAAATATTTCTTTTTCTAATAATTGTACTCATTTTAAATAAGTATTTTTTTTTAAGTTTTGCTGTTTTATTATCATGAAATTACTAAACTTAACGATATACTCCTCAAATTTCTGATCTTAAGACAAAAAAGTATCAGTCATGTTGTCCTAATGCTCGTTGACGGACTTCATTTGTCTTAAATATTTTAAATTTTTACGACCTGCAGGTTTTCTCACGATGTTTTTCTTCATCGCCGAGCACGTGGTAAATCAACACTTAAAATTACGCCTTAGAATTTTATTCATGTACACCGGAGACCCTTTTTACTGGAAACGAGACATTCCATCTTAATTCTCACGGGCGACAACGTATCTGCATGTTGATTTGTAGTCAAGAGTAGATGTAGATGTCTAAGGGACACAGCAATCACTTACCACCAGGTGACTGTGTGCTCTTTTGTCAACCTTATCCTATAAAAAATGTCGACGGGGATCGATGAATGAATGGACAAATTCTCTCCTTTTTATTGCTCTAACTCTTAATTTTTACTTTTAATGCTTTTTTGTCCTTTTTGCGCCTACCATTATATTTCGCTATACCCGGGTTTGATTGAGAGACAGTGCCAAAAAGCATCATGTCCGCTTTTTATCTTTCTTTTATTTAAGATGGTAAGCATAAAAATATATGAATATATAAAACAGGAAGGTGCAAGCAAAACTCCGGTACCTATAAAACTGCGTGTCGTGCGCTTCCTCGCAGAAGAAGTGGTTAATGTACGCGAGCAGAACTCGCTTGTCCCAGTCGTCGGTGATGTGTCCGCCGTAGTTGATGACGGCCAACAGGTACCGTAGAGCTGCCCACGGGACCTCCTCGTACTCCTCCAGGTAGTTCGCCAGCAAGTTGTCCGAAACCTGGCCACAAAAAGTCAAAGTTAAAAATATTTTATTTTGCTTATGGCTTATTAAAACTTTAAATAAAATTGTACTTCTCCATCACCTCGTAAAAGACCATTGTTGGAGAAGGGCCTCTGCCGTTCAGGGAGGCTTTGCCATATATGTTTATGTGGTGGTAGGACTCCTTTTCTGCCCAGGATAAGTACACACTAATGTGTTCCGATGTAAATGGTATAGAGGAGCCAGTGTAATTATAGACTTTAAGGCATTCATTCCATCTCCTCAGGATGTCCATGGACTGCAGTCTGGCACCTTTGATGATGTTTTCGCTCGTGTATTAATTTTATGTCTAGAATAATAAGCGAACGGTTTTACCATCATCTTTTGGAAACCTTAAGATCATTTGTTATTTTATTAAGATACTAGCTGTTCCCCGCGACTTCGCCCGCGTGGAGTTATTTTTCGCGGAACCCTAAAATAAAAGCAGCCCAAGTTACTCGTTATAACATCAGCTATCTGCCAAAGTCTATAAATATTGACAAATATTTACATTAATATTTATACGATTTTTTTTATAGGATAGGGTGACAAACGAGCACACAGTCCACCTGATGGTAAGTGGTTGCTGTGGCCCATAGACAATCTACATTTATCCTCGTTTGCGAATCAAAATGCAGATGCGTTGTCACCCGTGAGGACTAAGATGGAATGCCTCTTATCCAGTAAAAAGGGTCTCCGGTTCTCTTCACACACCATACGAAACACAGCAGTGTTAAGCTGCTATTTAACGCTGGTATTCTGTGAGAGCGTGGTCCTTCCCCGGTCGAGCCGACCCATTCGTGCTATAACTATACTACTAATATAGCTGCAGCATGGCTCCACAAGTACGATACGATACTGACGTCACTCAATTGTTTTGCCTTTCCGGAACCCCTCCACTAACACTTAAACTTTATGTTATGGTATTAAAGTTCAAATTGACTTTTAAGTATTATTACGAATCTTTTGTATGGGAATATAGAAAAGTGTTGTTTTTAGACTTTTTCAGACAATTTTTTCAATTTTTCTCACCGTAAGAACCATCTTCGTACTTCAAGGAATATTATAAAAAAAAGATTAGCGAAATCGGTTCAGCTGCTCTCGAGATTTGTGCTTAGCAACACATTCAGCGATTCATTTTTATATTATAGATTTTCTACAGACTTCAAAAAGGAGAAAATACTCAATTCGACTCTATGTTTTTTTTAATGTGTCATAAATTTTTTCTAGGTGAACCAATATGGACGATTCTTTTTTTTAAGCTGGTGCTTCTCATGTGGTCCCATATAATTGATCAAGGCATGACCAATAGTTCTGGACTAATTCTTAATCATTTATATTGAGATCGGTTGTACAAAATTTTTAATTTTAAATTATGTCACTGTCACTTCTCAGGATACCTACGGAACCAAAAGAAAATATAGATTGATACTACTTACTTCGAAGTCTGCATCGTTGAAACTGTAAACGGCGTTGTAGCCAAGTTGCCGAAATCGTTTCCGAGCGATCAGCGTGCAATGGAAGAACGCGATACAGAACAGGAGCCTCCTGTACTTGGGCGTGGCCTCATCGAACTTGTCTTCATTAATGTTGACAAAAAGGCGGACTAGGTTGCCTTTAAGACCCTGTGAGAAAAAATGGAAAATTTTGAAGGAAGTCAACGAGCAGTCAGACGTAATATTTCCTGTCTTAAAACCCTTATGAGAAACAAAATGAGCCGTGTTACTTAACTCTAATATTTAAGTGGATATGTAAGAGAGCTATTGAGGAGTAGAGCTTTTGAGGAGTATACTAATGAGTAAGACTCACTTTCTACTTAGGTGTCCGTCTACGTAGATACCACTCTCTTACTTATTTTTTTATAGAATAGGGGTTACAAACGAGCACGTGTGCTTGCATTGTGTTTCGGTCCGAATGGAATAGAGAGAAAATATAATTACATAATATAATAACAGGCTGTGAAGTATTGCTAATAAAATATTAAGTAAGAAACCGGAAATACTCATCAACAATAAAAAGGTACTAAGAGTGGATCATACTAATAACCTTGGTCTTACCCTCGATAGCCAACTACGCTTTAATGAACATGTAAATATTAAAATATGTAATGCTTTTTATCGTTTAAAGGTTTTATATAGCATAAGAAAATACTTAATAGTAACGATCAGGAAGACATTAGTTGAGTCGTTAGTGTTATCACATTTTAATTACTGCGATACCGTCTATGGCCCACGACTGTATGCAAAAACAAAAAAGGCAATTCAACGCGTGCAAAACGCATGTACTCGTTTTTGCTATAACGTCCCAAACACACATTACTCCATATATTAATGAAAATAATATTTTAAAAATGGACGCACGTAGGAAACTCCACTTGGTTTGGTTAGTCCACAAAATTATTAGTTACAAAAGTCCACTGTATTTATACAATAAATTAGATTGGAGTAAAAATGCTCATGAAGTAAATACACGTAAAAGACTCTCAAACATGCTGAATATTCCATGCCATAAGACTAAAAACTTTAGGGGATGTTTTAAATATTCGGCCGCAAAAATATGGAATGATTTACCACCACCCTTAAAAGAAAATTTTAATATTACATTTGCAACATTTAAAAAAAAGGTTAAAAAGGAGTTATTACATAAACAGAAGTCTTTTTAGGCCGAATAACTGTATGTTTATTCTGTAATAAAGTTTTTTTTTCATCTAACACATATTGACTGTAAAGAGGTTTACCAACAATACATAATTAAATAAGATGTGCGTGCGACCAAAATATACCCACAACAGCAGGGACTGAGAGCAGGGGCTGAAAAACAGTGCTGAGCATAATGCCCAGCGAATACTGAGCCTGTGCCCGTTGCCTTACATTATAATCGTAAACTGAGTAATATTAGTTTATCTGTTAATTGTGAATGTTCATTTTTTTATAAAAATTTTAAGTCTAATCATTTCTATGTGTATACTTACTTTGTAAACTTTTCATTTGTAAACTTATTATTGTGTGGCAATAAATATTTATTATTATTATTATTAATTAGTAGCCTTCTAATTTCGAAGGTGGCTTCAGGTGGCCATAGAATAGAATAGAATAGAATATTTTTTATTCAATATACATTACATGTGTAATTCTTATTGAAAGTCATTTTTACTTTACCCCTGGTTCGAAAAAAACCCTCTGTCCTGGGAAGAACCAGCAAGAAACCCAGCGGGACTTTTTTTTTAAAAATAAATTTTACAATATAAATAATTACAAACTATTTACAAAATTTATTTTAGAAACTGCTTGGAAGCGATCACCTCATTCCCAGGGGTTATTATCAACCATGTATTCATTTATACTATAATAACCCTTTTTATACAGTTTCAGCTTAATAAAACATTTAAACTTGGTAATAGAGAGAACCTGTACACTTTCTGGGACCTTGTTGTAATAGCGTATACATTGCCCCAAGAATGAATTACTGACTCTGTGGAGTCGAGAAACTGGCATCACTAGCTTGGATTGCCATTGCCATGGCCATGGATTGCCACTTACCATCAGAAGGACTGTGAGTACGTTAATCACTTCAATTTATAAAAAAAAACAAATTGGAAACACACACGAGGTCCTTGCATACTCATCCTACCCTTAAGCTTATCGAGTTATGGAAAGAGCTATGTTGGAAGTTTTTGGATGCAGGTGGCTTTTGACCGTGTTTTGTGGCATTCCTTGGGGGAGGCTTATGTTCAGCAGTGAAATTGTTTGGGTGGTGACGATGTTTATGATGATTTTGTAAGGGAGGATACAATCAAAAGGTACGGTTTTTACGTAGGTAGGCAGGTATTGCCACGCTGCAGGTATATTATGGTTCTAGCATGGATGAGTCGACTCGGCCGGGGTAAGGCCACGCTCTCACAGAATACCAGTGTAATTGTTGTGTTGTTGTTTCGGGCCTGGATGGTTGTCCTTCTGCAATTTATGTATGTAAACTGCCTCCAGAGAAAATCCTAATGTAGGGGTTACATTTTTTAAAGAAGAAAAAAGAAAGTGTAATATAGCAACTAATGCAGCTGTCTTTCGTACGGTGAGATATTTTTACTGGAAACGAGGCATTCCATTTTAGTCCTCAGCCACGCTGCAGGTATATTATGGTTGTATCACGAATGGGTCGACTCATCGGCGTAGGACCGCTCTCACAGAATACCAGTGTGAAATAGCAGCTTAAAGTAAAGATAAGGTTTTCGGGAAGGGTGGTTCGGTTTTACCTGCGGCGACTCGGTGGTCATCTTGATGCTCCGCTGGAGGACGCTGAGCGGAATCTTGTCGTCGGGCATGGAGAAGAGCCAGAGCCGGAAGCGGTGGTACCTGCGGCGGCTCGGTGGTCATCTTGATGCTCCGCTGGAGGATGCTGAGCGGGAACTTGTCGACGGGCATGGAGGAGATCCAGAGTCGGAAGCGGTGGTACCTACGGCGGCTCGGTGGTCATCTTGATGCTCCGCTGGAGGACGCTGAGCGGGATCTTGTCGTCGGGCATGGAGGAGAGCCAGAGCCGGAAGCGGTGGTACTTGCGGCGGCTCGGTGGTCATCTTGATGCTCCGCTGGAGGATGCTGAGCGGGAACTTGTCGTCGGGCATGGAGGAGAGCCAGAGCCGGAAGCGGTGGTACCTGCGGCGGCTCGGTGGTCATCTTGATGCTCCGCTGGAGGATGCTGAGCGGGAACTTGTCGTCGGGCATGGAGGAGAGCCAGAGCCGGAAGCGGTGGTACCTGCGGCGGCTCGGTGGTCATCTTGATGCTCCGCTGGAGGATGCTGAGCGGGAACTTGTCGTCGGGCATGGAGGAGAGCCAGAGCCGGAAGCGGTGGTACCTGCGGCGGCTCGGTGGTCATCTTGATGCTCCGCTGGAGGATGCTGAGCGGGAACTTGTCGTCGGGCATGGAGGAGAGCCAGAGCCGGAAGCGGTGGTACCTGCGGCGGCTCGGTGGTCATCTTGATGCTCCGCTGGAGGATGCTGAGCGGGAACTTGTCGTCGGGCATGGAGGAGAGCCAGAGCCGGAAGCGGTGGTACCTGCGGCGGCTCGGTGGTCATCTTGATGCTCCGCTGGAGGATGCTGAGCGGGAACTTGTCGTCGGGCATGGAGGAGAGCCAGAGCCGGAAGCGGTGGTACCTGCGGCGGCTCGGTGGTCATCTTGATGCTCCGCTGGAGGATGCTGAGCGGGAACTTGTCGTCGGGCATGGAGGAGAGCCAGAGCCGGAAGCGGTGGTACCTGCGGCGGCTCGGTGGTCATCTTGATGCTCCGCTGGAGGATGCTGAGCGGGAACTTGTCGTCGGGCATGGAGGAGAGCCAGAGCCGGAAGCGGTGGTACCTGCGGCGGCTCGGTGGTCATCTTGATGCTCCGCTGGAGGATGCTGAGCGGGAACTTGTCGTCGGGCATGGAGGAGAGCCAGAGCCGGAAGCGGTGGTACCTGCGGCGGCTCGGTGGTCATCTTGATGCTCCGCTGGAGGATGCTGAGCGGGAACTTGTCGTCGGGCATGGAGGAGAGCCAGAGCCGGAAGCGGTGGTACCTGCGGCGGCTCGGTGGTCATCTTGATGCTCCGCTGGAGGATGCTGAGCGGGAACTTGTCGTCGGGCATGGAGGAGAGCCAGAGCCGGAAGCGGTGGTACCTGCGGCGGCTCGGTGGTCATCTTGATGCTCCGCTGGAGGATGCTGAGCGGGAACTTGTCGTCGGGCATGGAGGAGAGCCAGAGCCGGAAGCGGTGGTACCTGCGGCGGCTCGGTGGTCATCTTGATGCTCCGCTGGAGGATGCTGAGCGGGAACTTGTCGTCGGGCATGGAGGAGAGCCAGAGCCGGAAGCGGTGGTACCTGCGGCGGCTCGGTGGTCATCTTGATGCTCCGCTGGAGGATGCTGAGCGGGAACTTGTCGTCGGGCATGGAGGAGAGCCAGAGCCGGAAGCGGTGGTACCTGCGGCGGCTCGGTGGTCATCTTGATGCTCCGCTGGAGGATGCTGAGCGGGAACTTGTCGTCGGGCATGGAGGAGAGCCAGAGCCGGAAGCGGTGGTACCTGCGGCGGCTCGGTGGTCATCTTGATGCTCCGCTGGAGGATGCTGAGCGGGAACTTGTCGTCGGGCATGGAGGAGAGCCAGAGCCGGAAGCGGTGGTACCTGCGGCGGCTCGGTGGTCATCTTGATGCTCCGCTGGAGGATGCTGAGCGGGAACTTGTCGTCGGGCATGGAGGAGAGCCAGAGCCGGAAGCGGTGGTGGATGCGCGGACTGTCGAGGCCGCGCAGCGCGCCCAGCCACGCGCACGCTAGGTGGCAGTTTGCCAGGAATACCCAGCCGCCCTCCTTCATAGCCTGGCTTAGCATCCTGTATAAATATATATATTGCTGATTCAGTTTGCAATTTGTCATTGCTGGTTATAAAACATCATGCCCCCCCCCCCACTCTCTCTCGCTTTCTTTCTCTATCTCTCTCTCGTTAAATAATAAACTGTATAATACAGCTCTTACACTTCCATACTTGAAGTTAATTGCATAAGGGCTTACGATGCCATATTATAGTACTGTGTAACGGTTCGACGTCGGGCCGGCAGTTAGCCCCTCGCCCTGGACCGTAAAGTTGTAACTGAGTGGAAATAAATGCAGTAATATTCAAATAAACTTTGAATAATTTATCACCTACACCTATAGGCGACGATAAGGGCTAATTTATAGGTATTCAGTAACCACATAACATAATGTTAACATTTAGTAAGTTTTGTCACTTAAGGGTTTGAAGAAAAAGCCTTACCTGGTAGCAGCTGGTGCCTGACCCTGTCCAAGACTGAGTGACTGGAACTTGTCAAACATCTTCACGTCCACAGCCAACTGGATTAGCGCTGATGTTGGATCGACTCCAGGCGAAAGTACAAACAGAAGGGAGGTCTTCCAAGATGATTCTTCCCACGCAGCCTGTTCAAAATAACATTTTGTTTAGGACAAGATTCACAAAAAAAGTATTTTATGAATCTTGTTGTGTCTTGTGATTCATAACTCAATACTCAATATTTAAAAGTATTCCATAATGTAAAAATTAATAAATATTAAATTATCACGTGGTGCACGTGTGCGTGTGCGTGTGAGTGTACGTGTGGATGTACATACGCGTATGTCGAGCACGGGCGACTCCACTTAGCGTAGGACAAGCGCATGCAGCACGAAGGCAGTGGTGCACGTGTGCGCGTGCGATTATGTGTGCGTGTACGTGTGCGTGTACGTGTGCATAAGCGTATGCGTGAGCGCGCGCAGCACGAAGGTAGTGGTGCACGTATGCGTGTACGTACGCGTATGTCGAGGACGGGCGGCTCCACGTAGCGCGGACCGAGCGCGCGCAGCACGAAGGCGGCGACGCACGCGGACACGCGGTCCAAGCGCAGCGCGCGAACCACAAGCATACGCTGGAACTCGTTGCACATCTCGTTCCATTCGCCTGGTATGGACCAAAACCCACTGCTTTGTATTTCATCATTCATCATTATTATAACGTATTGAAGTCCATTGCTGAAAATAGGCATCCTCCATAGGCCTTTCATTCACGCTTACATAGACGTATACAGTAGGCAGCTTAAGTGCATTTTTTTTTACTATTATTCTGTTACAGAGATGGTACAGAATAATTCATATCGACGTATAGTAAAGAAAAATTAATTAAAAAAAATCTCAAACATTATATCCCTTCTTTTAAACTCAGAATGCGTAGTAATTCATTATTTTTACTGATTGTTATATCATAAATACCTAACGCCTACTATTTTAATACGCACGAATACATTAGTAATGGTCGGTCAATCGGCAAAAACGTTGTGAATTGAACCGCACACAAAGGAACGCGCGTATGCGTAGTTGGTACCCATAAGTCACATACAATTTGAGATAATTTCGAAAAAAGTAGAGCCTTATGTACTCGTATTTTTAATAACTGCAATAACGGTATATCGTTGTTTATATATTAGAACTTAAGTATAATGTTTGGCTGCTCTTTGAAAAATAACCCTGTATATATGCACTGACTACCGCAGATTCCATAGTTGTAAATTTGATTTTTTTAGAGCTTTTGGAGTTTTAAAATTCGGGTATTAACTTACTTTTAAAAAACCTAAAACTTTAGTAGTTGTTCACGCCCTTAGTTGCCCCGACAAAGGTCGACTGGACCAGGGCCCATGAGTGATCCCCTCGACGAGCAACAGAGGGCGGGGCTCAATGGCCTATGGAAAATTATTCTAAAACGGCTGACAAGCAACAAAACTTACCGAGTTCCGGAGGTAGGGTTGACCACAGGGTACCAGTCAGGTGGTAAGTGAGGTGTATGTAAGTAGTATGCGAAAGTGTGTATAGATGTAACATGACATCCACGATGTAGTCGGAAAGCAGATCCACAGGCGCTGCTTTTATCCAAATGTGCGTACCCTCCAGTGGGCGTTCACCAATTGAAAACTTCTGCTATTATTTCACTATATTAGTTTATCAACTTTATTGTACATTTAATTAACTTCATATTTAACTAAGTCCACGTTAATCAAAATCAAACAAGTGACACACGGCACAACTAAAGAAGGGTCGGTCAAAGTTCAATTTCCCATGTTCACTTAGCAACAAATTATAATCGAGCACACGCGATCTCCTCTCGAGTCACAAATTCTAGCGTTCTCCCGACAAAGCAAAATTCCTTCGTACGATATTAAAAGGTCACACAAACAACTCGTCGATGCAAATTAATGGCATAGACGTTAATTTAATCACTCAAAACTCAAATTAGGCCTCGCTGTCACGTAACGCTCAAAACAGACACTCCATTCGAGGCGGTCTTAACGAGACCCAAATATTCAATAGTAAATTCAAAACGACGCGCACAATTAACCCAAATTTTAGACCGTCAAATCAAAACACCTGTAATGTCGGAACTCGGAAGGCGCTGAATGAAGGAGACGTGTTGCTTGTACAAGAACTTTAATTATACTGTCCAGAGAACACAATTACTCATACGGAGATACTGTCGCTATTCTATACTTAATACTAATATCATAAATGTATATTGTCGGAGGTAAAGGGGAGTCTACAGGGCACTACACACCGGCGGCGCGCAACCTACTAACGGTCGCAAACAATACTCAAAACGGTTACAACAATAATTATATGAGACCAGCCTCGTTGTCACGCAAAATGCACGAGATTAGACAACTTCAAATTTAACTATTCAGAGGAGGCTCCGCGCGCGACTTTTAACCGTCTCTTCGACACCGAGGTCGCTAGCAACGAATTGTTCTAGACTCGTCTTGAACGCCGCGCCCTCAAATGGAATGCGAGCGTGAGAGGGGACCGGCGGTAACCTTGGTAACATCGGTGGCACGCGCCGAGTTGAGTGTATTGAATGCAAGTTTTAATTTTTAATATTAGGCCTAAACAGAAGCTTTAGCAGACTTTCGCAATATTATCAATATGTTCAGATCTTTACATGTTTAAAAGTCGTTAGGGTCTGATTATTTAGGTGGTAATTATGTACTATCGGTTTCGTTTCTGCGAGAAGGACAAAGAGAAACATTTAGAAATATTAAGGTCAAGTTTGTTGATTTGATAGTGAGATATTATGATTGGTTATTCTATTGAGGTCTTCTTGTAGTAAATTGTAATATTTTATTGTTAAATATCCTTATGAAAATTTTCAAGTCATCGAAAAAAGAATAATTTTCAATGTTTGAAAGAAGAATATAGCATCGATAAAAATATTAAATAACAACGGCTCCAAAATCAAGCCTTGTGGCACACCAGAAGGTACACGTATTCATTTAGATTTATAAACATGCAGCGCTACAGATTATGACCTATTTTCAATATATAAGCAAGTCCATCTAAATAAGTTGCCACGCACCCCTGCGTAGTTATACATGATCTATTCTATCGAAACATTTGCGGTAGTCTATAGTCTATAGGGTACCCACCTAGCGCACAGGGTCGCGTGGCAGCCTCGTTATGCGGCTCGCGAGCGAAGGCTCGCGAGGCAGCCTCAATAGTATTGTCCGGAACTCATGCATGGGGGCATGCCTCGCGAGGCTGACCGAGCCATCATAAGTTCTCGAGCATCCAAAGTGGACAGTTGTGTAATTACAGCTGCAGCTACTTTCCTAGTTGCTTATTGTTTAAAAAAACGAAAACAGTCTTTTAGATCCCACAGCATCTTGTACGTACAGTTGAATTAAACGAATACACTCATCCTGATTGTTCATGATATTATATTATTAAAATGACTTCAGTAAAACTAAAACAAACACTACAGCCTCGCTAGCCAAAATACCATCGTACACACCAAACGAACAGCGAACATTGAGGCTTCTTTGAGCGCGTCAAGTTTACCAACAACGTATGGCGCGCGGTCGAGCGGCGCTCGGGCGAGGCAACGTGCGCCCGAGGCAGCCCGAGGCACGTCCACATCAGCCGAGGTATTGGCTCGCGAGGCTGCCGCGCGAGCCTGTGTGCTATGTGGGTTACACGGCTTATGAATATTGTTCTATTTGTGCACCGGCATCCATATTGGCCGTGAGATAATCATTAAATATTAGTACATTTGAAGTAATAGACCGATTTTTAATAAGTTCATGTAGAACTGTATTAAATTGTGGGCGTAGAATTGTTGAACAATTCTTTCGAAAATCTTAACGAAGATACATAATTTGGAGATGGGTCTGTAATTGAGCACATCATTTCTATTGCCATTTTTATTAACTGGAGTAATAAAAGCAGATTTATTATATAAGGTAGATACCGTGCTCTCCTTGAGAGACTTTAAAAATCATACATAATGAGAGCGTTAGACTTTTAGCACAGTTAAAAATATAAATCGGCGGTATTTCATCTGGTCAGAACCTTATTTAATATCAATTTTTTAATTGTTGCAAGACAGTATGTTGATCAATTTGTATATTATTATTAGTAATGGTGGGATGGTCGTTATATTGCGTTTTGGTCGCGGTAGAAGAAGAGGAGATGTCCAGCCAAGAAAGGTGTTTACCAGCGCTCCGTACTCGGAAACGTTGAAATCGTGGCTTCGGTACGTTTCGCTTGGCACGCGTTTTTGTGTTGGTTTCGCGCTTATAAATAATTGTTTCTGATCTTGTCATTAATGTCTTCAAATATGCATGAAAATAGTCAGCAAAAAATTTACATGTCTTATTCTTTATTGGCCGTTTCGTCATTGTAATGCAAAACTAAATGATAGAAAAGTACCATTACTATTTTTGGAAGAATTAATATAGCTCTAAAATGCTTTAGGGTTTACATGAATAAGTACTTGCTACTTGTAACATTTGGCGTAACGGTATAAAAGGCGATTGTCAGCCTTTATACTGGCAACATGAATCCAACAAGAAACGTCATTAGATTTTGAAAGCTGTCACTGGAGGCAGGAGTAACGTATATGTATGCGGATGTTACAGTGTTCATCATGGAATCTGATAGAATCCCAAATTTTGGTGATTTTATGAGAAAGTCTGCTTTGGTAACATTTGTCATGACAAAGGCATCTGCTGTGTGCTGTGCTTCTTAGTTGGTTTTTAACTAATGTTTTCGTGTCTTCAAGAAAGGAGACTAGGAGAGTATCAACGTCTTAAATTTTAATAAAGATTTTTTTTCTAATCCTATTGTAGTAAAAGTTTATATGAGTTTGTACTATTCACATTTAGATTCGCATTTGCTTGCAGGCCGCGTTTGGTTTTTTACTTATCATGTTGTACCTAAAGCTTCTTATAAATTATAATAAACTTCTTAAATATTTTATTCATTTACTGGACTGCATCATACAATAAAACTCAAACAGCAATTAGTTCTGCAAGGAGCAACATTCTGCTAGACTTTTTTCTTCAACAAGGGGAGTTCTATTGTGGAAACAGTTTTATAAGTGGCAGAACCATGCTATAGCTATATTATGGTTGGTGACCGGGCAAGTACCATGCTCTCACAGAAATCCAGCGTGAAATAGCAGATTAATGCTGCTGTGTTTAGTATGGTGAGTGTAGAGAAGCGCAAACCCTGTTTACTAGAAACAAGGCATTCCAACTTAGTCATCGCGGAAGACGATAGATGGCTATGAGCTTCAGCATCGACTTTCTATTAGTTGGACTGTGTGCTTGTTTGTAACCCTTTTCCTTTATTAAATAAACAGCTAGATCTTGAGCTCGCTGTAACTAAATTACAATAAAAATAACCTTTGTTTATGAATGCAAATGATGAATAAAATTTTATGAGAACGCGCATATTTTATCTGTATGTTGATATATCAATTGGCAATATTGATATAAAAAAAAAGTTTAATAAAATTGAATTTGAATATCAATACAGTTTATCACGAGTTCGCCGCTAAACATAGGTGTTGCGTGATAACGTAAATCGAAACGCAACAGTGACAAATAGTCCGGCCCAATCAAAAAATACGAATTAAAATAAGGGTTCTAGACTGATTCGAGACACGATAGCATAGCTTGACTTAATACAGTAGTTCGCCTTTTATATACATTTGTAATTATCTTTCAATATAGTATATAATATATTTATCTTGTTTTCATCCTTTAGTTCTTGAATTATATGCAATTAATACAATTAAAGTCAAGATTTTTATTTTGGGAATTCGACTACATTAATTTATTATATATATCACCCAAGAGCTCCTGCCGCATCCAGGAACAGGATCTTGGGCAAACAATAGGCGTACGAGTCACATCACGAGTACATGCACTTTTACGGCGGTTCTTCTTTATTAGATGTTATTTATCATTATATTAATTGGCAATTAACAATAAAGAACAGTAATCATTATGCACTTAGCAGAAATGGTTATGTTGTAATTACCTTCAAGATTATCATCTCTACCAGTACCATCATCAACCTATCATTATTATTAACGTGTTATCATCCTTATCAACGATCATCAGTAAATGTACATTTGTTTTTGGCCCTTCGAGCCGGATAGTCCTTACCCATATACTACCTGTCTCATTAGGTCTTTATTCCATCTAGTGGAAGGTCACCTAACACTGTGCTTTACAGTACAAGGCTGACACTCGAGAACCTTTCTTCCCTACCTGTTTATGCCCAAAAATAGGCATTTTGAGACGGCATCCAATCACCTTCGACTTTGTCGAATCACCCGATGGTGTCGAGGTGAAGTAATGCCGACGGCGGGGGAAGGCGGCCGCGTGCCGTGGGCAGTTGCTCAACGCGCTGGCTGAAAACAGTAGCTCGCTGGCAGCCGTGCAGTTAATTAGCATACCTCGGTTGCCGTTGCCGAGGTTTCGCGCGACCGATTTTGGGGTTACGGTCTGGATTTTTAGAATTTGTGCGCGTGACTTCGCTACGTAATTGTGTTTCGTGAAAACCGCCTCGTTTTAGGTTGTCTAGGGTTTGAGTTCTTGACAAGAGGCTTGCATTGTGTTTGACTGATTAAATTAACTTCTTTGAAAGTAATTGTGCAAATTAGATAGTGAATGCGGGTTGAAGTGCATTTTGTAATATTTAACTTGTTCCGGTGACGTGGAATTTTGCGCGCGCGCCGATTAGAGATACGTTTTAGAATTTGGACATCGCAGTCCTTTACCGAGGGCGTCTCCTTGTTGATTGTTTGGAAATCATCATTGCAATTGTGCCGTCGCGTTAAGTGCCCTTTTTTGTGTGTTTTGTTTTGTTCGTTTTACGTGTCAACGAGGCCGATTTTGAATTCTTATCGCGGCGTAGTATTTAGTATCGAACGAAGGAACTTAGTTGTGTTTAACGCCGAACCGTGTGACTCATGAAGAGATCGCGTTAGTTCCCTATTTGTAATTTGGTGATAAATGAATCCGGGACATTGAATGTTGAACTTTGAACTACTGTCCGTTACTATGTCGGGTATCACGTGTTCGATTCTACGATGAATGTGGAATCAGGCGAGTTTAAGTTAGTTAAATGTACAATGAAGTTAATAGACTGAAATAGTGACATGAAGAAAGAAATGGTCCAGCGGGGAAGCCTGCTGGAGTGATGCAGCATTGTGGGGCAGCATGGAAATCGGCCGCTGCCGGTCACCTCAGCTGGGCCAGGTCTCATACACATACACATCACTAAACACTACTTTCCATGCACCTTACACCCACCTACGACCTGACCGAGCCCTGGGGCGTTCTTAGATTCGGATACAGGCACGTACTATATTTTTGTAGCCTTCTCCCTACAGTTTAGTATGATAGGACATTTTTCCATATGGCCATTTGGGCTCGAACCCGCGGCTGCCCGTTGAATCTTTCGCTCACGGGCCCCAGGATATTTGATCTTTGCAGGGGCAGCTGTGGGCCGTAAGCCGTAACACTACCGGTTGTCGGTTATTTTTTTTTAAACGTTACCCCCACACTAGGATTTTCTCCTGTATCGTGGAAGCAGTTTACAAACATAAATTGCACGAGGATAAACATCCAGACCCGGAACAATTATTTGTAGGCCATACAAATACTTGTTCCGTGCGGGATTCGAACTCATTTGCTGCAACTCATTGCGAAGCCACGGAGCCGTCAAATTATTTATTCGAGTTATTTGGCCGGCCCATTGCCACTTCAGCTTATTGATCCACTGAACTTTGTCACATGATGTAAAACTTTAACTATCTATAATTTTAATATCTACCTAAAACATAAATTTCACTTACCAATAAGTGGCTGAGTCTCGGGCTCCGGGTGCACATACCACTCGCGCCACTCCTTAGACAGTGTTTCAAACGAATCGATCAGGCCATGGAAGCCGCCCAACTTGTCCAGCTCAGTTATGTTGTCCCAACACTCGTCCGGTATCCAGTCTAGAATGTAAACAAATACAAGTTTAAAATTCTGAACTGAACATTAGGGCTTTTTTAAAGAATAAAGTTACAACCTAAATACTAATACCGTAACTGGATATAGGGCTTCTCTCATTTCTACGAGAGTTATGGATCAACATCAAAACCATTACTTCAGTGCGTGTGGTGGAGAAATTAATGCATATGACGGCACCTGCACCGTTGTAGATGCGGTGGCGTCGGTCTAGCTAGACAGAATTCTTGTAAACGACACGTATACCGCACACCTGCGGCATTGCACCTGCGTTGCCGCCCGTCCTGCTTGTATAAAACGGACTGAGCGGCCGCCGTTAAGACAGTCTTGGCTCTGACGTAGAACGATGCGCTTGTCGTATTGCGTTACTAGTTTATCCTCGACTCGTGGGATAATTAGTTCGTGTAAACGAATTAATTATTATTCCTAAATACAAAATTAGTCTCTGTACTATACCCACTATACTTCCTACACATATTATTCCCGCCCACACTCTGTGCATGCGTGCACTACCACTGCCATTACTAAGCACAACATCCAACACCACCATCGATAATATAACACGCATTTCGACTCTAAACGTAGCAACATCAGGAGATATAAAGTATACTTTTTTATTATATTAAACGTAAAGTGGGTTGTATGAAACTGAAATGACAAACGAACTTACCTACAGCCAACTTTAAATTAAGAAACTAAATGGATGCGTTGTCACTTCCGAGGACTAAGATGGAATGTTACGCAGCCTGTAATTTATATATATTTTTCTTTTTCTTTTTTTACTGTGGCCACCCCGGTGACAAGTTGTAAAATACTTGCTCCCGAATATTTTTAAAAATTAAATATTGTAAATTTATAATATCCATCTCAATTTTGAGTTACAGATAAATTTACATTAAATACGACTTATTTGTATTTTTAAAATAAGTAAAAGTCATAAGTATTTTAATTAAATTGTGTTTAGTGTTACAACCAAAAGTGAAATCTGTAACGAACAACGTCTAAACTTACTATATGTAAATAATTCGAAATGAAGTCCAGAGCAACACTTAATTAAAAGATAAATCTTAAAATATTAAAGGGATAACAATAATTACACTTGTAACAATAATTACACTTCATTTCGAATTATTTACATGATAATTTAATTTGAGATCTATAAATACTGACTCCCTATACCTTTTAGAACAGAGCTACTTACCCAGATGGACTCCTAAGCAGTACATTAGCTAAATCGTCCTACCATCGTAGTACATTAGCTAAATATTGTGAAGTAGGTAAAGAGAAAAACTTACTGGTAGGATTATCAGGTTGTTCAGAACGGTCTAGGACTATGCCGCCCTTTAGTAAGAACATATATTCATTCACGTTCAATTTTCCAGCCTGGAATAGGATCCGCGACGCCATGTGGAACGACAGCAGGAGCTTGTGTCTCTCGAACAGAGCTCGGCATGTGTTCCTAACAATTTTGTAGCATTACTAAAATGGTATGTGTTGCCGACGTAATACAACCACTCATTTCTACCAAAATGTTCCGTAGGATTCGATGAGAAATTGAAATGAAACTATTTTATACGGATTTTATCGTGTTGCTTAACTTATTTTATATTCCCGACATTTCGATTACCTTACAGCACCCAAGTTAACGTCTGATGTGTAAGAATATTTTACTTTATTTTGTCCGTGGGTATCGTGACAGGTAATTGTGAACCAGAAAGACTGATACCAGCCATGATCCCGAAATAGATTTTTTTTATAGAATAAGGGTAACAAACGAGCACACAGTCCACCTGATGGTAAGTGGTTGCTGTGACCCATAGACATCTACATTTATCCTCAATAAAGAATGAAAATGCAGATGCTTTGTCACCCGTGAGGACTAAGTTGGAATGCCTCTTTTCCAGTAAAAAGGGTCTCCGGTTCTCTACACTCACCATACGAAACACAGCGGTGTTAAGCTGCCATTTTACGCTGGTTTTCTGTGAGAGCGTGGTCCTTCCCCGGTCTAGCCGAGCCATTCGTGCTACAACTATACTACTAATATAGCTGCAGCATGGCTCTACCACGTGTTAAGAATGAAAATGAAGAGTGGCAGTAGCAACATCATTACAGCAAGTCAAAATCCATTGTCGAACATAGGCCTAGTTACTACGCTTGGCAGGTGGGTTGGCAGCCGCAGTTTTTTTTTATTTTTGTTGTTATCAGAAAGGCGCTGCTACTCATCTATTGGTTTGTATCGCTCTGTCGCCTCTTACGGCACAAGCGGGACGATAGGGGGTAGTGGATATTCTAGCACCATCTTGGCGAATGAGGGCCAATAATTTTCTGCTCACCAGATGTCGCTAGTTGACACTGATGTAAAGTTTTTTGGTACACAATTTAATTTAATTGAGAAGTTGGTTTTTTAACAAAAGCTTATCAGTTTCTAGAGTATTATATTAATACACAAAACAATGCGTCAGTGGTTTGCTCTTTAATTTACTGCACATTTTTAATTTACCTACTTTTATGAATATTTGCGGTTTAGTTTATTTATTTTTAATCTTATTAATACAAAATATAGCCAATAGTCCAGAAAGAAACAACAACCTTTACATTTTCCGAACAAATTAACTTCCCCGCTATGAAAACTGTCAAATATTATACCTCTCTTTCTAGTGGCGCCGCCCTGGTGGCAGAAAAAGTTGTGGGTGTCCTCATTGCATTATGACCGTCTCAAACAGTGTGTAATACTGTCCGTTATCAGAATTCATCATTGCATTATGACCGACTCTAACAGTGTCTAAAATTGTCAGATATCAGAGTTCGGAAAGCCTTTGTGGCCTACGATAGCAGGAAGTAAGACGGATGTAAATATAAAGACCGGCAACAGGGAATAGTGTCAAAATACATCTGGAACTGCGATCGCCTATCCGCTTACCAAACGTTGCCATTACGGCTGTTACTAGTAGGGACTAAAGTGAAGATATTTATACACAGTGTCACCATAAGTGAAAAGTTGTGTTTCAAATAAAAATTCTCTGTGCCTAGAATTTAAGCCTACTTACAAAAAATAACACCTCAGTGATTGGCTCTTGCAATTTTCAACTTACTTATATACCGCGTACGTGTGAAACTCGTTCAGGTTGTTGATGCGGTCCTCGAGCTCGCCGCCTTTGTGACTGCGGTCGATGGAGTACGTGAACAGCTCGATGTACGCGTCCAACGAGAACTGGTACATGGGGTCGATTCGGGACAGGTCGTTCAACGCGAAGAAAAGAACCGATGCTCGCACTGCAACTGGTACGTAGCCCTGGTGAAAAAAAAATTGATTGAAAAAAATTGACACTAATTGATTTTTTGTTTAAATTAGTTAAGTCTAACAGTCCATGTGATGGTAAGTGGTTATTGCAAAACATGGACTATAAACCTGAATGAGAATGCGTTAAAACCTCTCAATATTGTCCTCCAGACCGAATTTTTGACGTGGTAGAATCATGCTGCAGCTATATTTATAGTATAGTTGTAGCAGGAACGCGTCGGCTCGACCGTGGAAGGACCACGCTCTCATAGAATACCAGCGTAAAATAGCAGATTAACTCTGCTGTGTTTTGTATGGTGAGTGTAGAGAACCGGAGGCCCTTTTTACTGGAAAAGAGGCATTCCATCTTAGTCCTCACGAGTGAAAACGCATCTGCATTTTGATTCGCAAACGAGGATAGATGTAGATGTCTATGGGTCGCTGCAACCACTTACCATCAGGTGGACTGTGTGCTCGTTTGTCACCCTATACTATAAAAAAAATTCGCTCACAGCAGCCAATCTCTACGGAGACTAGAGATCTGTGCAGGACTTGATTTTAGTGCACACAGGTGCACTCTCTATTCCCTCACTCTCATAGTCTGATGGGACGTTAATACGACACGACTGGAGAGAGATCAGACGCAGGACCATAGAATTTACGTACTTAAACTCTATATAGTAATATCAGAAGTATCACAGTTTGTTATTATACTGTAGTGAAAAGATGGTTTAATTTACATGGACAGACTCCTAGGTAGTAATAAAGCAGTACTACCTAACCTGACGGTCCATTAGCAAATTTTGTTGACCATAAAACGAGAAGTCACTTTGTAGTACATTGTGTATTCTATATTATATTCTATAAGAGCTACCGCGTCTCATAAAGCATACGACGCAATGTACTACAAAATTACTATAATATAGATGTCAACTAAATTACCGAATATGCCTGCTGTTGGATTTTGTGCTACTTAGACCAATATCTGAAGTCTAATGGCGGCGGAGATTTTATCATCCCAATTCCACCTTCTGCGTTACCAAGGGACGTATATAGTTACAGCAGGAATGAGTCGGCACAAACGGTGAAGGACCATGCTCTCACAGAATACCAGCGCATAGCAACTAAATGCCGTGCTGTACTACATTTTTTTATATAGAATTAGGGTGACAGACGAGCACACACTCCACCCGATGGCAAGTGGCCGCTGCGGCCCATAGACATCTGCATCTATCCTCGTTTGCGAATCAAAATGCAGATGCGTTGTCAGCCTTGAGGACTAAGATAAAAAGCCTCTTTTCCAGTAAAATGGGTCTCCGGTTCTCTACACTCACCATACGAAACACAGAAGCATGAAGCTGCTATTTTACGCTGGTATTCTGTGAGAGCGTGTCCCTTCCCCGGTCGAGCCGACCCATTCGTGCTACAACTATACTATTAATATAGCTACAGCATGGCTCTACCACGTATAAAAAAATATATAAAACGAATAATAAAACTACATTTAATATGATGACTGTAGAGAACCAGAGATATATTTTAGTGGAAATGAGGCATTCCATCTTAGTCCTAAAATGTGAAACACATCTACATTTTGTCTATGGGCCACAGCATCCAATTGACTGTGTGCTCATTTGTCACCCTTGTCCTATAAAAAAAATATGTTATTATTTTATATTGTATACGCACTTGTCTAGCTGAGTCGATTTCCTTCTCGGTCTCCTGCGAGTTAATAAGCGCCTCTTTGACTTGAAGCGAAGTGCGCTGTGAGATCTGCAGCGTCTGGAACAACTCCTCGTTCTCCAACAGCGGCACTTGTGATTCGTACATGATGCGAAGCAGGTCGTTCTCCAGATCCACCTGGTAATGGTGTGAAGCGTACACTTAATTTTTTTTGTAAGTAGTGTATAAGTGTATAAGTATGTAAGTGTGCCGTGTAGTGGCGGTCAAGAATACCACTACCCCATATCCTCCCGTGGGTGTCGTAAAAGGCGACAAAGGGAAACAGGCAGGAGATGGGCAGCAGCATCTTCCTGATAATAGCCAAAATTACAATAAAAAAACTGCGGTTGCCAACCCGCTCGCCAAGCGTGGCAACTATGGCAAATACCCCCCTATGAATGTAACAAAGATACGGCCCCCAGTCCCCGGTGGCCCCGCTATTCCTGGCTACGGTGGCGACCATGGTAACGGCGGGGCAGGGGGTGCTAAGAATCTCCGGTGGAGGTTCGGTTGCCACCTTAGACGACTCGACCTGGCAACGTACAACGCACGCACCCTGAGGACTGACGAGAAGATCGTGGAGCTGGAAGAAGAGATAGACAAGTTGCGCTGGCATATTATAGGATTATCCGAAGTCCGAAGAGAGGGGGAGGACACGGTAATCCTCGAATCCGGCAACTTGCTCTATCACCGGGGGGGCGACCATCTGTCCCAAGGAGGTGTCGGATTTATCGTCCACAAGTCTCTCGTTAACAACGTTGTAAAGATCGGGAGTGTGTCGACGAGGGTTGCGTACCTTATACTCAGAATCACCAAACGGTATTCGCTGAAGGTCATACAGGTTTACGCACCAACCTCGGCACACCCCGATTGGGAGGTGGAGGAAATGTATGAGGATATCTCTAGAGCCATGCATTCCTCCAAAACCCAATATACGGTGTTAATGGGAGATTTCAATGCAAAACTAGGCACAAGAGAGAACGGTGAGCTGAAAGTAGGGAAATTTGGAATAGGGCAACGGAACCCAAGGGGCCAGCAGCTGGCCGACTTCATGGAGAAAGAGGGACTCTTTATGATGAACTCTTTCTTCCAGAAGCGGCCCCACAGGAAGTGGACCTGGTCGAGCCCCGACGGTTCGACAAAAAATGAGATTGACTTCATTATGACGACCAGACGACAACTGTTCAGTGATGTCTCCGTGATCGCGAGGGTGAAAACTGGTAGCGATCACCGAATGGTTAGAGGCACACTGAACCTAAACGTTAAGTTGGAGAGGTCTCGTCTAATGAAGTCAACGCTCCGTCCCCTTTCGTGCTCTGTTCCAAAGTCCCGAAACCTTTCAGCTCGAGTTACAAAACCGTTTTCAGTGCCTAGAAGACTGCAATGAAGTGGACGATATGAATGACAAGCTCGTGGAAACTGTCCATGCGGTCGGAGCTAAGTTCTGCAAGACCCGCCGCAGAAGAACACAAAAACTCTCCGATCACACTCTTAATCTCATGGCTGTTAGACGGGAGATGAAGCTACATTCTTCAACAGACTTGACAGCATACAGGCATCTGAACAGACAGATCTCCAAATGCATGCGGCGGGACTTACGCAACTTCAATACAGCTCGTATTGAAGAAGCGATCGAGCGGAACCAAGGCTCCAAAGTCTTTGCCAGAGATCTGTCTGCCAGAAAGAGCCAACTGTCAAAGCTGAAGATAGAATGTGGCAGCATCGTTTCCGGGACACCTGAGATTTTGAGTGAGATTGAGAGGTTCTATGGGCAGCTGCACACGTCATCGTTGGAGCCACACGCAAGTGTGAGTAACGATCCAAGAGCGAGTCTCATCCGACACTATTCCGAAGATATCCCGAACGTCAGTCTGAGCGAGATTAGAATGGCTCTCCAGCACCTTAAAAACGGTAAGGCCCCAGGCGAGGATGGAATTACAGCGGAGCTTCTGAAAGCGGGTGGAAGACCGGTACTTGAAGTCCTTCAGAAGCTCTTTAATTCCGTCCTCCATGGTGGCATTACACCGGAGGCGTGGAGCAGAAGTGCGGTGGTCTTGTTCTTCAAGAAAGGTGACAACGCTCTCTTGAAGAACTACAGACCGATTTCCCTTCTGAGCCGCGTCTACGTGCTGTTTTCGAGAGTCATTACGAATCGTCTCGCGCGTAGACTTGACGACTTCCAGCCTCCCGAACAAGCCGGTTTCCGAAAGGGCTTTAGCACCATAGACCACATACATACCCTTCGGCAAATTGTACAGAAGTCCGAAGAGTACAATTTGCCACTATGTCTGGCGTATGTGGACTATGAGAAAGCCTTTGATTCCGTCGAAATTTGGGCGGTGCTGCAGTCCCTTCAGCGGTGCCAAGTTGACTGGCGGTATATCGAAGTGTTGAAGTGCTTGTACAGTAGGGCTACGATGGCTATCCGAGTACAGAACCAGAGTACGAAACCTATCCAATTGCAGAGAGGTGTAAGACAGGGTGACGTCATATCCCCGAAACTCTTCACCGCTGCATTGGAAGACGTTTTCAAGCTTCTGGACTGGAAAGGATACGGTATCAACATCAATGGCGAGTACATCACTCACCTTCGATTTGCCGACGATATAGTCCTTATGGCAGAATCGCTGGAGGACCTAAGCACTATGCTCAATGACCTCGATAGTGTTTCCCAACGGATAGGTCTTAAGATGAACATGGACAAAACAAAGATCATGTTCAATGTCCATGTCACACCTATGCCGGTAGTTGTTGGGAGCACTAAGCTCGAAGTTGTTGACGAGTATGTTTACCTTGGACAAATAGTCCGACTAGGTAAGTCCAACTTCGACCGAGAGGTCAATCGACGGATTCAACTCGGCTGGGCAGCGTTCGGGAAGCTACGACACATCTTCTCGTCAGACATACCTCAAAACCTGAAAACGAAATTGTACAACCAGTGCGTGTTGCCAGTGATGACTTATGGAACTGAGACGTGGTCCTTCACTGCTGGCCGTATGAGGAAGCTCAAGGTCGCTCAGCGAGCTATGGAGAGGGCTATGCTCGGAGTTTCTCTGCGTGATAAACTTAGGAATGAGGATATCCGCAGTAGAACCAGAGTAACCGACATAGCCCAACGGATTAGTAAGCTGAAGTGGCAGTGGGCCGGCCATATAGCTCGAAGAACCGACAACCGATGGGGAAGAAAGGTTCTCGAGTGGCAGCCTCGTACCGGTAGGCGAAGTGTAGGGCGTCCCCCCACGAGATGGAGTGACGACCTGGTAAGACATGCAGGAAGTCGATGGATGCAGGTGGCTCAGGACCGTACTTTGTGGCATTCTTTGGGGGAGGCCTATGTTCAGCAGTGGACTTGTGAAGGGCTGTAATGATGATGATGATGATGAGTGTATAAGTGTAAGCAATCATTAATTTTATAAATTAAATTAAATGTATTAAAGTATCAAATGGATGTTTGATATAATATAGTAATAATAATAATGTCCTCCAGACCGATTTTCGGTCATGACGGCCAGTCTCAACGGAAACTAACTAGGCGCAGGACAGGATAATAGTGCCCAAGTGTATGCGCAAGCACAGGTGCGCTCTCTATTCCCTCACTCTCATAGTCCGATGGGACGGTAAACAGACACAACCGGGGAGAGATCAGGCGCAGAACCAACGACTTTACATGGTTTCCGAGGCACGGGGGTGAGACACCGTTAATTTCCTGACTACGGGCAGCTACTGAGAATTTATTGATGGAAAAAGTCAATTACTGATTTATTGGCCCGATCCGAGATTCGAACCCGGGACCTCATGATCAGCAGACGCACTACTACAACCACTAGACCGACGAGGCAGTAATATAGTATGTATGGAACATTAGTATACTTTTAGTCACAGTTATATGTCATGTTTATAGATACATAATTAAAATTTGAAATGAAGCCAAAACTAACTTCAAAATCTAAAAGAAATAAAATAATTACCACATAATTTAATATCTTTTTAAGTCGACGGTAAGACATAGGTAACAAAGCACTGAAGCTCACAAGTTATGTAAATTATTTAATTCGCGTAACGTATATACATAAAAATATACAGTCGAGAAATTACATGGTAGAGCCACGCGACGCTTTTGCTGTCGCACGGATGGGCCGGCTCGAACCGGGGTGGTACCACGACCTCACAGAAAACCAGCGTGAAGTAGAGGCTTACCTCTGCGTTTCGCTTTGTGAGTGCAGGTGGCCGGAAGCCCTTTTACTGGAAATGGGACATTCCATCTTAGTCCTCACGGGTGACAACGCCTCTACATTTTGATTTGTAATAGAGGATAGATGTAGATGTCTATGGGCCGCAGCAACCACTTACCATCAGGTGGACTGTGTGCTCGTTTGTCAACTTTATCCTATAAAAAAAAAGTTCTTCCTTTTCTACCGACTTCAAAAAGGAGACGGTACTCAATTCGACTGTATGTTTTTTTATTTGTCTTATCTCATAACTTTTTAACTGGATTAACCGATATCTATGATTTATTTTTATTTGAAAGATAATGCTTCACATGTAGTCCCATATAAATTTGATCAAGGTCTGACCAATAGTTTTTGAGTTATTCTTTATAATTTATATTGAAGACGGTTGTAGAAACATTTTAATTTTAAATTATTTGAAATTAGTTAAAAAATCACAGACTAAGACGACTGCATTTGTTATTAGTTTTTAAAGATTTTTTTTATATTTTTATTTTATAGGATAAGGGTGACAAACGAGCACATAGTCCACCTGATGGTAAGCAGTTGCTGCGGCCCATAGATATCTACATAAAACGAAATGCAGTTGCGTTGTCACCCGTGAGGACTAAGATGGAATGCCTAGTTTCCAGTAAAAAGTTTTCTCCTGTTCTCTACACTCACCATACGAAACACAGCAGTGGTAACCTGCTATTTTACGCTGGTATTCTGTGAGAGCGTGGTCCTTACCCGGTCGAGCTGACCCATTAGTGCTACAACTATAATAATAATACAGCTGCAGCATGGCTCTACCATGTAAAAATTAATGGGTGATTCAAGTAGAGATACTTTTTTAAATAGCCTTTTTTTGAAGAATAACTTGTGAGTCGTGTCATGCTGTGATGCTATTTTTGTTTAGTATTGTTTGGCATTTCATAATGGAAAGACTTACGCCTGAACAACGTTTACAAATCGTTCAACTTTATTACGAAAATTCACGTTCTGTGAGGAATGTGTTTCGTCTACTTCGCTCAACATATGATCAACATAATCGGCCTACTGAGCGTACTATTCGCAACACCATCACCCATTTTGAGACCCAGCATTCATTATTGGATAATATTCGACCGAATAGACCACGTCCAGCACGCTGTGAAGAAAATATAGTGGCCGTAGCTGAGAGTGTACACGAAGACCGTGGAGAGTCGATTCGGCGCCGTTCGCAGCAACTCGGACTGACGTATGGAACGACTTGGCACATTTTACGTCGAGACCTTAAATTGAAAGCGTGCAAAATACAGCTTGTGCAACAACTGAAGCCGCTCGATCTTCCCAAGCGACATCGCTACGCTCTATGGGCTCTTGAAAAGTTCTAAGAAGATCCGACGTTTTCGAGGCAAATTTTGTTTAGCGATGAGGCATTTCTGGTTCAATGGGTATATAAACAAACAAAATTGCCGCATTTGTGACGAAGAACAACCTGAAGTGATTTAAAAACTGCCACTTTATCCAGAAAAAACAACGGTTTGGTGTGGTTTGTGGGCCGGTGGAATCATCGGTCCATATTTCTTTAAAAATGATGCCGGTGCGAACGTAACCGTCAATGGCGACCGTTATCGTGCCATGATAACCGACTATTTGATGCCTGAAATTGAAACTCGTGATCTCGACGCCATTTGGTTTTAGCAAGACGGCGCCACTTCCCACACATCGCATCAATCAATAGATTTATTGAGAGAACATTTCGGTGAGCACATAATTTCACGTTTTGGGCCGGTCGATTGGCCACCAAGATCGTGTGATATCACACCGTTAGACTTTTTCCAGTTACCAGTCGAAATGCTCGAACGAGTCATCGAAAACTGGACTCATCGGATGGACTATCTGCGACGTAGTAACAGGCATCATTTGATAGACATAATCTTCAAAATATAAATGCCAAAGAATGTTCTTTCAAATGATAATAAACATTATCCATTAATTTTGAATTTTCTGTGTTTTTTTCTTTAAAAAGGTAGGGAACCTCGAAATGGATTACGCCTTATTAATACAAGTAAACTATAAAACCGAAATAACTGATTGAGTAATGTGGTCTTTAGACGCTTACGTTTTACACCTTATAATATCACTACGACATACTAACAACAGTTCTTTTATTATATTATATTGCAGTTAACACCAGCATTAATTAGGTGCCTCAAAACTTGGTTTCATTTCAAATATGACGTTTATTTTACAGCTTATCCATAACAAAGCTGCAGCATGTAACTACCACGTCCAATATAAAAAAACTAAATACATACCAAAATTTTCTTATCCCTGGCAATAGACAACACGAGGCTGTCCTTCATCTGTTCCAGCTGCGGCCGCTCCTTCCTCACGACGATGCCCAGTAACTGCGAAGTCAAGCCTTGCTCCTTCACCGCGAAGTTCACCATCGTCGTCTTCGTTAAAATCTCCGGTGTGTATATTGGATTTCCTAAGCGTTATTATTTTACACAATAAAAAAACTTGTTCTTACACTATATAGAATGATAAATAACTAATAGCTTAGTAGATTTTTTTTATAAAATAAGGATGACAATCGAGCCCACAATCCACCTGATGGCAAGTGGAAGCTGTGGCTGTGGTACACATCTACATTTATCCTCAATTAAGAATTAAAATTCAAATGTGTTGTAACCCCTTCGGACTAAGGTGGAATGCCTCGTTTCCAGTAAAAACTTTCGCCGGTTCTCTACACTCACCATACGAAACACAGCAGCATTAAGCTGCTATTTCATGCTGGTATTTTATGAAAGCGTCGTCCTTTCTCGGTCATAATATTATAGCTGCAGCGTGGCCCTGCTATGTACAATTTACCACGCGCTTGGCACAGAAGGAGACATCGTGAGAAAACATGTGAAGTACATAATACGATAACACGTAATGACAGCGCGCGGACACTTCCCTGTCCTGAAATACCTTTCAAAAATAAGCGAAGGCCTGTGCCCAGCAGTCTGTGGCGTATATAAGCTGTAACTTTTTAAATTTTATACACACTGTGTAAAACAAAAGCTCCAGATAGTATTGACAGATTGACAATCTAAAAAACAATTACAATCTCAACAAAACCCTATTTTAATAACCGCAAACTTGGCCAATAATAATTAATAAAACACTACTCCGGTAGAAATAAAGTATTGATTTTATAATTGTTAACACTGTAACATCAAAGTGTGATTGAGCCTGCCAAAAAGTTCAAAAGACTTACGACCAATGGGATAGAATGGTTCTTGAGTAACTGCCTCGTACCGTAAGTAAAGAGTAAGACCTCTGCAACTAGGTCGAGCTGATCTTTTAAGACTTGCAACTAGGGAACTATCTGATGCAGGTGTTTCAAGAATGAGATTTGTGGCAATCTATGGTGTAAGCATATTATCTTCAGCAGTGGAATTGTGATGAGATTTAAAACAAATGATGATAATATTTATATGTGACTAGCTGTTCCCCGCGACTTCGCTCGCGTGTTAGGGCTTTTATGTTTTTGTGCGGAACCCTAATTATTTTTCTAAAATAAACGTACCCTAAGTTACTCCTTATGAAATCAGCTATCTGCCAGTGAAAGTCCCGTCACAATCGGTTCAGGCGTTTCGCAGATATAATAATATATATAATATGATGATAACAAGATCAAATATCACGTTAATTTTACGTTTTAAAATAATATTGTAAGCTTACCCAATTTCGTAGTGAGATACATTTTGAAATCCGGGTTGTAGGGGACCATCTTCTCGTTGAACTTTATGACTTGTGAAGCGCCGATCTTTACTATTGCCTTGTCCAGGATAGGGGCGATAGACGGATCTAGCACTTCGCCAACGTTCTGTATCAGTATGGGCTTGCCATCTGACAGGCACTGCTCCATTATCTTAAGATAGTTAGGCTGACCGAAGTCAACGATCTGTGGAAAAGATTTACGTAATCTAGATTAATGACTTTGAGAAATACGCAGTAAGTGGATTGATAAAGATAGTTCTGACTGTGACCTTGGGAGAATCTTTTCTTCAGCAGTCGAATTATGATGAGGTGAAATAACGTCGGTAGGATTCGCTTTCTACTGAGATCGGAGTCTGTATGGGTATGGTCTTCTTGCCTTTTTCTGCCGCCAAACAATACTAACCACAGCTGATTTCCGAATTGATTTCAAAATTGAGGACAAATAATGAGGATGTTCATCTTGCGCCTCAAGAGTGCCAAGGAATTTAATGTTGTAAATTAACCATAATATAGTAGTAGTATACACTGGAGTAGTGGCTATTCATACGAATATCCACTACTCCAGATCGTCAGGCCACGGCGACCACACCAAAGCCACATAGGGAAGCAAGCTACGGGATGGACAGAAGCGTCGTCTTAATAACAACTAAAAACCGCCTGCCAAGCTTGGCAGTTATGGCAAACATTCACCCTTCGAAGTAATTTGGGAGGGGGGGGGGGGGATTATGCTACGCAGTGAACTTTTGATAGACTGTAACGGTAATCCAAATTATAATTTGTACATGAAATATCTTGTGTTAGTTAGATTACATTCGAGTTCATTGATTTGTACTTATGACTAAAGAAAGAAAACAATTAAAAGATTTGTTAAAACAATAAAAAAAAGTATTTAAAAAATGTAACAATAAGGTATATATATATATATAATTCTTATGTCCGTTTGTATGTGGTGACGGAATCCTAATCCTGGCTTAAACCATTTTGATGAAATTATGTGTGTGTAATTAAGTCGATTCGAGAATGGGGTAGATTCACAATCAGATCCGTTAGGTGGCGCTGCTGTGGAGCTACTGAAATCACCCGTGCTAAGCCGGGCAGCATCGCTAGTTTATGTATTGTAGCAAAGTATACCACACTTCTGATGTTAGAAATTATCATCAAAAGTATTTAAATAAAAGAACACTACTCGATAACAAACCCTGCTTTCTATCACGACCCCAATTACATCTCCCATCTCAATTTAGCACAGGGCAGCCTCTCAGCAACACGACCTTCCTTGCCCACACTAGTAGAATACCCCAACGGGCATGGTAACGACAGTGGGACTCTTAGAATTACAGACTGATGCCTCTTAGTCGCCTGTGCGATACTTTATACTGCTAAAACAAGTGTGAGATTACCATTCTACCTTCATTTGTTCGTATTTCCTTTTATTTTTTTACATTGACCGCCTCGTTGACCTAATGGTTTTATGCACAACTGCTGATCATGAAGTCCTGTGTTCGAATCGCGAGTCGGGCTAAATTCAGTTATTGGGTTTGACGATGTTTCGTCTCCGTGCCTAGGGAAACACGCAAAGCCTTTTTTTTGTCCTGCACCTGCTTTTTCTGCGGTCGTGTTGGATTGTGCCGTCCCATCGGACTATGAAAGTGCGGGAACACAGAGTATATCCGTGCTTGGACATACACTCGTGCAATATAAGCACGTCCTGCGCAGATGGCAAGTCTCCGTCGAGACTGGCCACCGTTACCCAAACTCGGTCTGGAGAGCATTAATTAATTAATTGTATATGTTACGGCTAAAGCCGATGCGCGGGTACATCTAGTTTTAGCCGGATAATACTAAGTGCAGCCTATTTCGGTTGGTTAAACTTAGGTGTATCATATTATATAATTTATAAATTATGTGAATGTCTGTTTAGCTAGTAGTCTAGTTCTAGCCAGCTAGAACTAGGTGTAACTGCACTTCGGCATATAAAAAAACATATATTTAGCCGTAACATATATACAGACCTGAATATCATTCTTCTCTTCTAGCCTAGAAATCCAGATGAGCGCCTGACCTTGCGGGTCTACGGCTAGAGGCCATCTAGTCGCTCGACGCACTATTATGCCGTTCTCTGCACTAAAATTGTCATCTGCCAAATAGTAATTATAAGGTACTTCGTATGGCAGTCTATATTATAGCTTTCAAACATACAAAGCTACAGTCGTTAAAGTTAATATTAAAACATATATACTTCCCATTACGGAGGCAATCACCTTATCATTTTTACTATCTAAATATTATTATTTGGAAGGCTCCATCCTCTATATCCTTGTTTGTTTCCTTCTATCGTCTTTTGTGATAGTCACTAGATCGAAACTACACTGCATAATCACTACGTTTTAGCGAATGTCTTTGGAATATTTTTTTTAATTTCCTAAAAACGCAGGTTCCAACTGTGTGGTAAATGAACACTTAAAATTGCTATTAACAATTTCATCCGGTGAGATTCAAACCCTGATTGCTCGCATATTGTAAATTATATACGGCGATTGCCCCTGCGCTACGACTGCAAGTTACTACAATCATCAACTATTAGTTATATTTATGGACCAAAACGAAATGTCTTACAATTGAATTATAATAGTTCACCATAACCGAATACATCAGGTTTGAGTGGTAAAGAGCCACCTGCTTCCATCGACATTGTGCGTGTCTTACAATGTCCTCATTCCATCTAGTGGAGAGCCACCTCCAGAAGTGTCGTTTACCGGTACGAGACTGTCATCGATAACCTTTCTATTTTTTTACAGAATAAGGGTAACAAACGAGCACATAGTCCACCTGATGGTAAGTGGTTGCTGTGGCTCATAGACATCTACATCGATCTTTGTTTATGAATTAAAATGCAGATGCGTTACCAGCCGTCAAACGGGAATACGAAACACAGCAGCGTTAAGCTGCTATTTTACGCTGGTATTCTGTGAGAGCGTGGTCCTTCTCCGGTCGAGCTGATCCATTCGTGCTACAACTACGACTACTCGTATACTATTAATATAGCTGCAGCATGACTCTACCATGTATAAAAAAAATTCTTCCCCATCGGTTGTCGGTTCTTCGAGTTATATGGCCGGCACACTGCCACTTCAGCTTACTAATCATTTGAACTATGTCGGTTACTCTGGTTTTACTGCAGATATTTACATTTCTAAGTTTATCACGCGGATAAACCCCGGTATTCATGATATATACATGACAAGATACGTCGTATTCTCCCGAACACCGACCTGCTGCATTAGATCTGTCGGACCTAACTCAGCAGTTGGAAACAGAAACAGGAAAGAAAGTGGTACCAACCTGGGCAGAGCAGACAATATGGGGATTCTTATGTAAGGCTTACACTGAAATAACATGCACAATATAACACTGAATCTTCTCTTTATTTTATAAACCCTAACTTACGGCGTACCTGGCAGACCCATATAGTTCCAATCCCTGAGGGTAGCGTCGTCCAGTAGGAAATTTTTCATGCTCAGGTCCATAGTCACTGGGACAGCTTCGTTGTACACCTGACAATAAGATTGTTTTTTGTTAAATAAAAGTGCAGTGATACACGAACCAATAGTCCGTCAAACGTAAGTACAACATCAAACAAAGAAGGCGTTGTCACCCCTGTACTGTTTCGACCGGAATACAACAGTGCAAGTACTGCTGTTTGGCAGCAAACAGTACTAAAAAGTACGAAGAGTTCTAGGTAGAAAAGAAGATCTACTGTTTAATACGACAGCATAGCGCACGCGTCAACATAGTATACATCAGTGTAATGTGTAACATCAGAATGAGGGCTAATAATTTTCTGCTCACCAGATGTCGCTAGTTGACACTGAGGTAAAGTTTTTTTGTTACACAATGTCATTTAATTGAGAAGTTGGTTTTAAATAAAAATTTATAATTTTCTAGAGTATTATATTAATACACAAAACAATTCCTCAGTAGTTTGCTCTTTAATTTCTTGCACATTTTTAACTTTTTTTTAAATTTTTCTACTTTTATGAATATCTGTGGCTTGATTTTTTTTATTTTTAATAGAACTAAAATTATTTAACGGACACTGACGGCTCGAATTTGTATGACCTACAAATAATTGTTCCGGGTCTGGATATTTGTCCTTGTATTAAATTGTCTATATATTAATTTATGTATGTAAACTGCCCCCACAATACAGTAGACAATCCTAGTATGAAGGTAACGTTTTAAAAAAAATTGTAACTTTCTTTATTTGCTGCAGGTGTCCATGGACTGCAGTAGCTAGTTTAGTTTAGTGTAGCTAGTTAGCCTTTAAGGCGGCTCTTCACGTTGGCCAACATACTGACGAATGAGTTGGCCAATAACGATGGCCATCGTGTAGAGCGGGTGTTTATGTTTACGTTCCTATGTATTGGAACGATGGCCCACAAGTTGGCGCGAGATCCGTGTGGTGTCGGTTTTTTGTAAAAGATCAAAAAGTTGTGGCAGAGCATTGGCCGCCGCGTCCACACGTTGGCCGCACGTTCATTTTGCTACGAGCTCCCAGAGTGATCGCACGCACCTTATTTAAATTTTATATGTTTTCATAACTAGTGTCTACATAATGGCAGTAACAATGACCAATGAAAAAACTTTTCTCTTTATAGAGCCCTACAAAGCCGGGAATTGTTTCTGAAACACAAGTTTTTCTTTAAAAAAACGTTGCCCCACACTAGGATTTTCTCCTCTATCGTGGAGGCAGTTTACAAACACAAATTGCATAAGGACAAACATCTAGACCCGGAGTAATTATTTGCAGGCCTTACAAAACCTTGTACCGTGCGGGATTCGAACCCACGGCCCCCAACGCAGCAACTCATTGCTAAGCTACGACGCCACTGAGTCGTCAAGAAATAAAATTTCTTTTTTTCCATTTCTTTTTGATCATCCTTTTCTTATACACATTCACGTTATAGTGGTATGCTGTGAATAAATAAACCGCAGCAGCCGTTAATAACAATTTTAATAAATTCGTCCGCACATTGGCCTAAACCGAAGCAAACTGAACGACCTTCCAACGTGTGGACGCGATCAAAAATTCTTGGCCAATATCTCTGCCAACACATTCGCCACTATGTTGGCCAACGTGAAGAGCCGCCATTAGGTTGATTGTAAGTTTGTTTGTTTCTTCTGTTTAAAAAAATATAGTAGCGAAATCTATGTACAAACAGAAAGACTACTCATTTTCGTTAACTGATTCAGATCTGGTACGTAAATCAAACTTATACTTTCACTGAGATTCTCAGAAGTCTACAGATGGTGACATAAGATACAGGTTTTACCTAGTTTAGGCGCCTGTTTTTCACCTAGCAATAGTTGTTTCACATGTAAACATATATTCATAGTTGTTTTCTAATTGATTAAGGCTTGTCCCCGCGCCAACCACCTTACGTGCGTGGGCAGAAACCTTTTCTGCTCTCCGCATCACCCGCACCTAAAGATCGCGCTCAATTTCTCGCTACAAGATTGCCATTACGTAGGTACGGTATACCCATACGTATGCCGTATAAATAACACGCTGGTGTCATAGAGTAGTAAAGTTAGAGAGGTCACCATTGCTTTAGTGCCTTTATTTGAGTAAAAGTTGTAATTCTATCTTTATTACACCTTTTTGTTGTATTTATAGTATCTTGATAATTTTTGGTAAAACAATAGTTTTAAAATAATTTTGTTAACAATATATTTGTCATAAAGACAATGAGTACCTAACTTTGTTTGGCGCTCGTCCCTAAAAAATAAATAACGTCGTAGCACTATGACCAATGGTGGTTGTTGTAAGATTCATAGAGTGCATCGATTTATTTTTTTAGAAAGTATGTTTAAATTCAGTATGAGAAAAAAAGCATTCACGTTTAAAGATTGGTTATTTATTACAAAAAAATTAAGATTGGTTGTTGTATAACAAATGATATAAAATGAATTTTCAAAAAGTAACAAAACGAAATATGCTACGTTATGCAAAGAAGAATATAAAATTGCAAACAGTTTCGAAAAAAAAATGCAACAACAGTATTATGGTTGAAAAAAAAAACAGGCGTGAAATCAGTATTTTTTTCAGTTCTATAAATTAAAATATATTTTGAGAAAAACTATATCACTCCTCATATCTAGTAAATTACTGTGAATTTTTTCCAATATAATAACGCTATCAGTTTTACGGTAGACAATACACAGTTACTGATGACAAGCCTTAATGTTGGTGGAAAGAAAATAAATAAATCAACTTCCACTTGTACAGAGAGGTTAAAGATACCCACCTCACGGAACCACTCGTCCATCAGCTCCTCGCGGTACTCGGACACGAAGGGCCCCAGGTACGCCACGAAGGCGGTGGCGATGAGACAGTCGCCCGGCAAGTTGTCGAACTCACGGTCCAGACGCTCCACCGTCAGCTCCCACCGCTCCCTCTCGCCTAAGGTGAATGTTATAGGAAATTAAACTCGGTAAGTAAGTACAATAAAATCTGTGAAATCCCAGGCATTTGCAAAGCATTTCACACTTATCAAAATGATTTACCCGAGAGTCCAGTTATGAGAGCCTCGGCGCGTTCGAGCTTGAGCTGCAGTATCTTGGACTTCCTCTCAAGCTCCTCCTTCTGCGCGAGCTTCTCGTCGTACTCCTTCTGTAGGCGCGCAATCATCTCGCTCAGCTCGCGCAGCTTGGCGCGCGCCTCGGCGAGGATCTGCTGCTTCATGCGGAGTGACTCTAGGGCTTCCTCCAGACGTTCTTTCTTGGGCTTCACTATTCTGTAATTATTCGTTTTATTAATTATCATAATTCATCTCTTCCATATATCGTTATCAGAAAAATATTGCTGCATGGGCAGCAAGATGGACATGGGCCCATCTTCTATGTCAGTTTCTCTCCGTCGCCTTTTACGTCACCCACGGAATGATATACCTAGCGCATTAGTTTCTCAGCTAATTATTATCATCATATATAAAAAGTAAAAGAGAAAAATATTTTAGTAGATGTGACACAGAACGACCTGAGTATTTTTACCATCTAGTTGGATACCTACGGCGATGCGCAAGTTTTCCCCATCAAGTAATGTGCCAAGATTACTTGGTGGTAAAGCAAGTAACCAGTGAGTAGATCAGATTAGTTTAAATATGTTTAAATGATTAACCCCCGGAGAAACTGTCTGCCCTGTTGTGAGAATTTTTTATTATATATAATTAAAACGCTGTAAAAATGGCAGATTAAATCAAACACTTTTTTTGAATTTTTGAAAATACCAACTTTGGAGTAGTTTGCCCCTATGTCAGTGTGTCTGCCATTTTTTTTTCTTTCTTTATCAACTTAGCTGACGGATAGTCATTATAATTATTTGAATCACACTTTTTTGGGCGAAAAACAACACTATTAATATATAGGTACACATAAATATAATATTATGCCTGTAGAGTTATATTATTTAATTAGGAATGATAATGATAATACATTCATCAAAGAATCCATCGAATTCCTGCATGTCTTACCACTTAAAAATAGTTGGGGATTACTCATCCAGTATGGTAATCCCCAACTATTTTTATACACACTATTAATATATACACATAAATATAATATTATGCCTGTAGAGTTATATTGTTTAATTAGGAATGATAATGATAATACATTCTTTGAAGTTGAATGATGCTAACTTTCAAATAAATTTGTTGGTACGACACGCGCGCCACCTACCTACTGTAATTTAATTATACTATGACTATACGAGTTACTAAAAGAGATTACGAATCGTCTCGCGCGCAGACTTGACGACTTCCAGCCTCCCGAACAAGCCGGTTTCCGAAAAGGCTTTAGCACCATAGACCACATACATACCCTTCGGCAAGTTGTACAGAAGTCCGAAGAGTACAATTTGCCACTATGTCTGGCGTATGTGGACTATGAGAAAGCCTTTGATTCCGTCGAAATTTGGGCGGTGCTGCAGTCCCTTCAGCGGTGCCAAGTTGACTGTCGGTATATCGAAGTGTTGAAGTGCTTGTACAGTAGGGCTACGATGGCTATCCGAGTACAGAACCAGAGTACGAAACCTATCCAATTGCAGAGAGGTGTAAGACAGGGTGACGTCATATCCCCGAAACTCTTCACCGCTGCATTGGAAGACGTTTTCAAGCTTCTGGACTGGAAAGGATACGGTATCAACATCAATGGCGAGTACATCACTCACCTTCGATTTGCCGACGATATAGTCCTTATGGCAGAATCGCTGGAGGACCTAAGCACTATGCTCAATGACCTCAATAGTGTTTCCCAACGGATAGGTCTTAAGATGAACATGGACAAAACTAAGATCATGTTTAATGTCCATGTCACACCTATGCCGATAGTTGTTGGGAACACTAAGCTCGAAGTTGTTGACGAGTATGATTACCTGGGACAAATAGTCCGACTGGGTAAGTCCAACTTCGACCGAGAGGTCAATCGACGGATTCAACTCGGCTGGGCAGCGTTCGGGAAGCTACGACACATCTTCTCGTCAGACATACCTCAAAACCTTAAAACGAAATTGTACAACCAGTGCGTGTTGCCAGTGATGACTTACGGAACTGAGACGTGGTCCTTCACTGCTGGCCGTATGAGGAAGCTCAAGGTCGCTCAGCGAGCTATGGAGAGGGCTATGCTCGGAGTTTCTCTGCGTGATAAACTTAGGAATGAGGATATCCGCAGTAGAACCAGAGTGACCGACATAGCCCAACGGATTAGTAAGCTGAAGTGGCAGTGGGCCGGCCATATAGCTCGAAGAACCGACAACCGATGGGGAAGAAAGGTTCTCGAGTGGCAGCCTCGTACCGGTAGGCGAAGTGTAGGGCGTCCCCCCACGAGATGGAGTGACGACCTGGTAAGACATGCAGGAAGTCGATGGATGCAGGTGGCTCAGGACCGTGTTTTGTGGCATTCTTTGGGGGAGGCCTATGTTCAGCAGTGGACTTGTGAAGGGCTGTAATGATGATGATGATGATGATGATGACTATAACCTTCGCACAAGTGCCAGCAATAAGTTGACAATGTTTTAGCGCAATTATCAAATTCGGTTCATCAGAACGGTATGGCAGCGCATAAAATACGAATAAACAAAAATTACACTTAATTGTTTTTAATTTTTTTTTTCAATATTATAATAACATTTTTTTATTTGTTTTTATTATTGGCAAATCGTCCATACAAGGTGTAAGGCCAATGTCTAGCGGTAGACTTTTACGGATTGATGAATATGTTTTTATTGTTATATTTTTATAATAGTATCAATGTTGTTATTAGTAAACTATCTCAACCAAGTTATCTCTGCTTCATTATTTTAGCTTTAGTAGATTTTTTTTGTATGAGAGAGGGCAAACGAACATGCGGAACAGGCTCACCTGATGGTAAGTGACTACCGCCACCCATGAACAACTGCTACACCAGGGGAATTGCAGATGCGTTGCCGGCCTTTTAAAAAGGAGTAGGCTTTTTCTTGGAGGTCCCTAAGTCGTATCGGTCCGGAAAAATCGCTGGTGGTAATCGATTCCAAAAGGAAGTTGCGCGAGGAAGAAAACTCCTTCTAAATCGCACAGTGGTAGACCGCCAAAAATCCACGTGGCATGGATGGCAAGTTTTGTCGCGATGTGCGATGGTGAAATTGAGCGGCTGGAATTAGTTCGAACAATTCTTCAGAACACTCCCCATGACAAAATGCGATAAAATACGCAAAGAGATGCAACATCTCTACGCAGTGCCAGTGAGTCAAGCCGATCGGAAAGCACTCGGTCGTCGATGATTTGAACCGCTCTAGGCTGGATGCGGTCAAGTGGAAGGAGCTGGCACTGGAGAACCCCTGACCAGAGATGGGAACAGTATTCCATGTGAGACCGAACCTGCGCCTTGTAAAGTTGCAGGCGGTGTGCCGGCATAAAATACTGTCCCGCTCTGCTCAGCACGCCATGCTTTTTAGAGGCCAATTTGGCCTTCTCTTCCAAGTGACCACGAAACTGCACTCTACTCGATATGTCGACGCCAAGGATTCCGATACTGGATGAGGCAGCAAGGGGAGTGCCTTGAAACTGAGGACATACGACAAAGGAACCCCTTTGTCGTATCTCCTATTTAGCACTATTTTAGCGGTGAACGTGCAAACTTGTGTCTTCTGGGGATTGAACTTGACTAGATTTAGTCGCCCCCAATCCAAGACTTTGTTCGACAAAGTTTCGACTTCAGACACAAGTTTGTTCCGGTACTCAGCAACGTTTTCCCGAGAAATACTGGCACGGCCGGTGTATAGAGCATCACCAGTGCTGTCATCTGCATAACAATGTATGTTACCTGTTTGCAACATATTATCATTGATGTGCAGAAGAAACAGCGTTGGTTATAGCACGCAGCCTTGTGGAACACCAACGTTAATAGGTTTGTAATCGGAGCATGCACCGTCTACTACGACCTTGATGCTCCGATCAGCCAGAAAACTGGTGATTCAATTGCATAATTTCTCAGGAAGCCCATAGGAAAGAAGATTCGAAAGAAGCAAGCGTTTTGTGCAAGTCCGATCGAAGGCATTAGCTATGTCCAAACTAACGGCCAATGCCTCCGCCTTGGACTCGATCGCCTGCGCCCATCTATGTGTTAGGTAAACAAGAAGATCACCAGCTGAGCGTCTCCGACAGAAACAGTACTGGCAGTCACTAATCAGCAAGTGCTCCTCAAGGTACCGCATGAGCTGGCAGTTAATAATGGACTCTATTATTTTCAAGAACAAGGAGGTGATGGCGATAGGCCTGTAATTGGACGGATCAGAGCGGTTACCTTTTTTAGGGATCGGGTGCACGAAAGCTGTCTTCCATGAATTCGGGACAACGCCTAGGGAGTAGGAGTACCGAAAAAGACGCGTTAGAACCGGTGCCAACTCTGGAGCGTACTTCCTCAGCACAATTGGCGGGATTCCATCATCGACTTGTGGATGTCCAGTGAGAGGGGTTCCAGTGCTTTGCATACTGAGCACTTTGTGAATCGCACATCAGGCATAGAACACTCACACTGTGGGACGGTCGGCGGTGTATTCCCCCTGTCATCAAGAGTCGAGTTGGACGCAGAAAGGGAGCCTAAAATGTCGGCTTTCTCTTTTGCGGCGTGGGCCAGTGAGTCATCCTCCCTGTGCAGAGATGGTAGTGATGGATTACAGAAATGTCCTTGGACAGCCTTGGCGAGAGACCAGAATGCACGGGTTCTCGAAGGAACTAGTTTCTCGTCAATTCTGCCTATGTACTCTGACTTTGCCTTGGCAATAACTCTTTTGAAGGACCTAGAGGTGAAGTTATACTTCTTTTTAAGCATGCTGGTGTTTACATCCCGAGTCGCCGAAGCCACAGCCCATGATGTGGCAGCGCCACTATTTATATTGCGTAGTATACAATTCAACACAGATCACAAATTCACTTACTTGTAAACCTTGCCGTACTTCTCGATGGCTCGCACCCACAGACACAGCGACTTGGCGGCGAGCGACACGGTGCCGACGATCTCAGGATCGAAGTCCGGTTTGGCCGTGTACGTTCCAATCTTCTTTAACGTCTTGTCCGATATGTTGTCTTTGTCAAAATCTCGGAGGCGATCCAAGAAGTACTGATCTCCTAACTGACGCTTTGCTTCTGCCCATGTCGGTTCTTTCTGTATTAAAACAAAACAGCATCATTTTCACATTACCGTGTTTTCAAACAAGTAAACGTGAAAATGAGCATAAATTGAAATTTATTTTTTGTTCCATATTCATCCTTGTGTCCTCAATTATAAATCAAAAGGGGATAGTTTTGTAATAATTAGAAGAGAAGACCAAATTGGACTCTAAAAAGCTTGGCGTGCTCAGCAGAGCGGGACAGTATTTCATGCCGGCGCAACGCCTGCGACTTTACAAGGCGCAGGTTCGGCCTCGCATGGACTACTGTTCCCATCCATACCTTCTCCTTGACCGTAATCTCTGGAACCAGATAAGCGTACACTAAAGTGCATTTTTGGATCGCACATACTGGGACGTCAGAAAATGAAAAGAGTTTATACGGTACACCTTAAAAATTGTTCTCTATGCAACATTGTCATCGGAAATTGTCATTCAAAGTCACAACATTACATGCACTGGTTTTTGTTTTAAACTAAATACGCTAAAGTATAAAGAGGATATTTTAAATTCTAAAGTGAAATATATGTAGTTGAAATTAGTGTAAAACAAACCTGTAGCAATATGAGAACAGCTTCCATAACCATCTCAACCTTTTGTGGAGGCTTTGCGTAGGACTTCACCTCTGTGATATCCTTCTTGTTAAGTGCGTCCAAAGCCTGCAAACAAAACAGTAATATAGGTACAATCTTTATCATCATTACTACAGCCCATCACAAGGCCACTGCTGAACATAGGCCTCCCCCAAGGAATACTACATAGCACCGTCTTACCAGGTTGTCACTCCATCTAGTAGTGGGGGGACGTCCTACACTTCGCCTGCTGGTATGGGGCTGCCACTCGAGAACCTTTCTTTCCCATCGGTTGTCGGTCCTTCGAGCTTTATGGCCGGCCCATTGCCACTTCAGCTTACAAATCGGTTGGGCTATGTCAGTTACTCTGGTTCTGCTGCGAACATCCTCGTTTTTAATTCTATCACGCAGAGAAACCCCGAGCATAGCCCTCTCCACAGCTCGCTGAGCGACCTTGATCTTCCTTACACGGCCAGCAGTGTAGGACCTTGTCTCAGATCCATAGTGCTTCGATCCTCCAGCGATTCTGCCATAAGTACTATATCGTCGGCAAATTGAAGGTGAGTGATTTACTCGCCATTGATGTTAATATCGTATGCTTTCCAGTCCAGTAGCTTGAAAACGTCTTCCAATGCAACGGTGAAGGCTTTCGGGGATATAACATCCCCCTGTCTTACACCTTTCTGCAATTGGATAGGTTTTGTACTCTGGTTTTGTACTCGGATAGCCATCGTAGCACTACTGTACAAACATTTCAGCACTTCGATATACCGACAGTCAACTTGGCACCGCTGAAGAGACTGCAGCACCGCCTAAAATTCAACGGAATCAAAGACTTTCTCATAGTCCACATACGTAAGACAAAGTGGCAGATTGTAATCTTCGGTCTTTTGTACGATTTGCCGAAGTGTATGTGGTCTTTTCTTGTAAAACTTAGCTCCGACCGCATGGGCAATTTCCACGAGCTTGTCATTATATTTCAATCTTCCAGGCACTGAAAACAGTTTTGTAACTCGAGTTGAAAGGTTTCGGGACTTTGGATTAGAGCACGAGGGGAGCGCTGACTTCATTAGACGAGTTCTTCAGTGTGCCTCTTACCATTCGGTGATCATTACCAGTTTTCACCCTCGCGATTACTCAGACATCACCGAATAGTTGCCGTCTAGTCGTCATAATGAAGCCAATCTCAATTTTTTGTCGAAACGTCGGGGCTCGACCACGTCTACTTCCTGTGAGGCCGCTTCAGGAAGAAAGAGTTCATTATAAAGTGGCCCCCTTTCTCCATGAAGTCGGCTAGCTGCTGGCCTTTTGGGTTCCGTTGCCCTATTCCAAATTTCCCTACTTTCAGCTCACCGTTCTCTCTTGTGCGTAGTTTTGCGTTGAAGTCTCCCATTAAAACCGTATAGTGGGTTTTGGGGGAATGCATGGATTTAGAGATATCCTCATACATTTCCTCCACCTCCGCATTGCGATGTGTCGAGGTTGGTGCGTAAACCTGTATGACCTTCAACGAATACCTTTTGATAATTCTGAGTATAAGGTACGCTACCCTCGTCGATACACTCACAATCTTTACAACGTTGTTAACGAGAGACTTGTGTACGATAAATCCGACACCTCCTTATGACAGATGGTTGCTTTCCCGGTGATAGAACAAGTTGCCGGATTCAAGGATGTCCTCCCCTCTCTTCGGACTACGGATGATCCTATAATATTCCAGCGCAACTTGTCTATCTCTTCTTCCAGCTCCAGGACCTTCTCGTCAGTACTCACGGTGCGTGCGTTGTATGTTGACAGGTCGAGTCGTCTTAGGTGGCTGAACCGAAACTCCACCGCAGATTCTTAGCACCCCCTGCCCCGCCGTTACCATGGTAGGCACCGTTGCCAGGAATAGCAGAGCCGCCGGAGACTGGCGGGTGCTGTTATCAGAAAGATTTTGCTACCTATCTTCTATATCAGTTTCCCTCTATCGCCTCTTACGACACAGACGGGTAGATATGGAGTAGTGAGTATTCTTATCCGACTCTACACGGGGATATAGGTACAAATAGCAAAATAATTAATACGTATGTTGGCAGCATAAGTTTTCATCATTTTTTTACGTGGTAGAGCCATGCTGCAGCTATATTAGTACTCGTACTATAGTTGTAGCACGAGTGGGTCGGCTCGACCGGGGAAAGACCACACTCTCACAGAAAACCAGCGTAAAATAGCAGCTTAACGCTGCTGTGTTTCGTATGGTGAGTGTAGAGAACCGGAGACACTTTTTACTGGCAAAGAGGCATTCCATCTTAGTCCTCACGGGTGAAAACGCATCTGCATCTTGAGTCTTTATTGAGAATAGATGTAGTTGTCTATGGGTCACAGTAACCACTTACCATCATCTGTGTGCTCGTTTGTCACCCTATCTTATAAAAATAAAATAAATAAAAAATATGCTTTGTTGACGCGTGGAAGTCGCAAGAGACGACTAAGTTAGAAGACAGGAAGATTTAGTGGGTTCAAATAGATGGACGATATAATTATTTCGATCATAAAATTAAGTATAGGTATAGCCTTTATACGTCCCACAGCTGGGTACAAACCTGCTCTCATTTCTGAGAGGGATTATGGGCAAGGAATTGTCCGCCATGCTGCTACACTACCAGAGTTTTTTACTGTTTTCCTTCACAACCGAGCAGCATCCAACTGTGCAGTATCACATGCTGATCAAGAAGCTATGACTATGAGCCCATGAGCCAGGCCAGGACATAGCTGGGTTGGTACCACCATTTATTCATTTTTAACCGCCAAACAGCAGTGCACCCACTACTGTGTGACAGTAAGGTGTTATTTGTAGCATTAAAAGATAAATAACAACATCACATAACTATTTTTTTTCGTTTTGGGGTCATTACTGGCCACGAGCATGGGTCTATTCATTCCTTTAGTGACATAGCAATATTTAAAAATTTATCTGTGACTCACGGGATATTGAAATAGTTAACAAAAGTGTTTATATACAGTAAACATCAAATGGGATGTACGTTGGCCATCCGCTTGCACTGCACCTCCTCCTGCGTGCGCTGCTACAGCACAGCACACAGCATACAGCACTCACAGCTCACCTTCACGGCCTCGTCAAGCGCGGGCATGGCGCTGGCCAGGTCGCGCATGGCCGCGTCGGCCAGCCGCTTGCACTGCACCTCCTCCTCCTGCGTTTTCTTGCTGCGCGCTGCCACGCTGCGCTGCTGTTCATCCGCATTCCGCTGCTGCATGTTGATCACGCCCATGTACTCCACGCACTGCTCCGTGTACTCTGCCACTTGAACCTGACAGGTAAGCAAACCTTATTGTTTAAAAAAAATTAAGTAACCGGGACCTTCACACTGGAGATACTATCTCTCATTAATAAACTATATTGATATTAGAATTCAAAGTTCTATCAACAAGAAAAAATTAAAATTAATCGTTGGTTGTCCATAGAATCGTTTTTACCTGAGCCGTCGCTAATTCTTCAGACATCTGACCCACTAGTTTGGTGGTTTCCTCAACTTTGCCCAAACCGTTCCTCAGTTTGTTTGCTTGCAGAGCCACCTCGGCTCGCTTGTTTTTCAGCATTCTATATAATGTAGAAAGGCGTTAGTTTAAAACAACTCTCAACAGCGTCTTATTTTGTCAAACTTTTGCATTTTATTTTGATACTAAAGAAAAATATTATATTTTTGATAATAAAAAAAAAGCATATTTTGAAAAATATGATTAAAAAAAATTTCCGATTCTAATTTAACACTTATGTTAAACGACTCCTTTGAACCTAAGAACAAAAACTGAGTTTCTGGTAGATTTGATGTTTCTCAATTTCTAAATTCAGGAGACGTTCCCTTCTTATTTACAATGTGTATTATTATATAACTAGCTGTTCCCCGCGACTTCGCCGGCGCGTAATTTATTACGATTGGATTTCATGGGTTTTAATTTTTTGCGCGGAACCCTAATTCTTTTTCTAAAATAAAAGTATCCTAAGTTACTCCTTATAACATCAGCTATCAGTCAGTGAAAGTCGCCGAAAAATTTGCCGGAACAAACAGACAGACAAAAAGACAGACAAAAATTTAAAAAATCGTGTTTTTGTTATAAGTACAGTATATACTTTCGTATGCAAATAGTACAAAGCTGTTATTTCGACAATACAAACAGAAACTTCAATTTTATTTATTTGTATAGATAAGTGTAGAAACCGTTAAACAAACTACATTACTACACACAAAACAAGTTTAACACTCATAACCTCAATATTCATCAGCGTTATACAAACACTGGCGTGTAAAACAAATGAGTATATAAGTCATTAAAAAGAGAAAGAGAAAAAGATAGAGACCGCTTATGAAGTTCGCTATTTTCCTTCTCAGTCAGTCTCTCAAGCTCTTACTTTATGACTTTCACTCGTCTCAACACAGTAATCGTATTAATCTACCGCAAAAAAAGTCTCACTTTAAAAAGACGCCTAAATTGAAGGGTGTATTCAAAATAAAGATGACAAAATTTGCCACGAATCAAGTACACTTATTAATTATACTTGACTCGTGGCAAATTTTAGCGCATACCGAAGTTTTTTTTTATAGTATAAGGGTGACAAACGAGAACACACATTCCATCTGATTGTAAGTGGTTGCTGTGGTCCATAGACATCTACATCTATCTTCGTTTGCGAATTAAAATGCAGATGCGTTGTCAGCCGTGACCCGTGAGGACTAAGATAGAATGCCTCTTTTCCAGTATAAATAGGTCTCCGGTTCTCTACTCTCCATACGAAACACGCTTTTACGCTGGTATTCTGTGAGAGCGTGGTCCTTCCCCAGTGGAGCCGGCCCATTCGTGCTACAACTATACTATTAATATATGTAGCTGCAGCGTGACACTTGTTCTTTTGCGAGGATTTGTGGTCTATCAAATCTGATGTGATGGTGGGGACGATCTTGAACATGTTCACAGACTGCAGACTTCCCAGAGCGTCGGTGACTCACGTCAGCTATATATTCTTTCACACGGGTTTTAATGAATCTTTTTGTTTGTCCTATGTAAGAGTGACCTCATTCGCAATTCACAAGCAAGCTTGTACACTCCTGCATCTTGAAGAGGGATATCACACTTGACGGATGGTAAAAATTGACTATTCTTCTTCGGCGGCTTAAAGTATGTTTTAATAGAAGCTCGTTTCAAGATGTAGACAACCTTGTCTGTCAACTTCGGGATGTCAAACATCTCAGTCCATACCCGTGACTATGGATTGTTGTGAAGTACCCGAAACGTCGGGAATTAAAATAAGTAAATTAAACGCGATAAAACCCGTAAAAATAGTTAATTCAAATGGCATCGTAACGTTTTTTTCGTAATATATCGAATTTCAAACAACAGTATGTTAATAGTTAGTGAAGGTAAAAATGTTCTAATTTCATATTCTATAATTTTAGTCTGAACCTTAGAACAATTATTCATTAGCCGACGCGATAACGATGTATACTTATCAGTATCGGTCAATGGAAAAGTGGTGGTAGTGTTGGTTTGACGGTAGTTGTGTTGTGCGCACAGGCAGCGCACCCGTTCGTCGCGCAGGCGCTGTGGCATACTGTTATGCCATTTTTAGCTTACTTCGAGTGGTTAATGTTGGAAAAGTTAACAGCATCGTATTTTTAATTATAATTAATATTTATTTTAGACCATGATATTATGATTTGTTAATAATAACAAGCTTATAAATTTAATTATATATACCGAGTGACGATGAAGTTATCACGTTAAATGAAAAGACGTATCCTACACAAAGTTCTTTAAGCATATACAACTAAAAAAAATATAACAATTAACATTTTAGTCGCAGTAGAAATTTTTCGTTTTAATATTAAACAACATCATGTAAATGCATACATATATCACCTGATGAATACTAGAAGGTCAAAGACCCATGCCCCGTGAAGGCGAAGATACCTATTTCAAACGTTGCCAATCTTAATTACTCAAATAAAGTAAAAAATCAAGCAAAGAATGTACTTACGGCTAACAATTTAAGGCATACTTCTTATGCGCGAAATTAAAAACAAAGGGACCGCGCGCTGCGGGTGTGTGAAAACAAATACAAGCGAAAAATTTACTTAAAATAGATGATTTAAGGCATAATTCTCTATGCACGAAGTGACAAGGAATGGGACGGGGTGTCGGGAGGGTTTGTGTTGTCGACTCTGGCGCGTGCGGCGATGAGTAAGAAAGTAAGTCACTTAGTCTGACGCCGGCATCCTTGGGGATGGTTCATGAGTCACTTGACCTAATTTTTGTTTCCTGCCGACATCCAAAAAGGAGACGGTACTCAATTCGACTGTATGTTTTTTTTTTTTGTGTGTTACCTCATAACTTTTTACTGGGTGAACCGATTTGGATGATTCTTTTTTTATTTGAAAGCTGGTACTTCTCGTGTGGGCCCATATGAATTTGATCAAGGTCAGACCAATAGTTTTTGAGTTATTCTTAATAACTCATATTGAAGTCGGCTGTACAAAATTTTTAATTTTCAATTATTCGCATACACGTCCTTTGAATTTTAATTGTTGTTTTTTTTAGGTTTTGTGGACATTTTGATAAGTTTCTTAATTTGTTTGTGATAGGACACGTTAATAGAATACGCTAGATAATCATATTTAATAGCTTAGTGGTGTGACAGCCCGTGCGCAATTGGACGCTTTTATTTTTTAAACGTATGATTTTTTTAAGTTATAAGAAGCTTTGTATCAATTTCACGTCGTCTGAATACACCGACATGATATTGATTTACAGATAATGCCACCAAAACGCAGCTCTGGCATTACGAACATACCGAGAGAGGTATAATACCACACGTGTATGTGAAATTTGATTTGTTTTGATTATTAAACTTGACTGATTTCAAGATTAAAGTGATTATTTGGATAAAAACAATACTATAAAATTTGTGATTCGAAGCTTTTTTAGTTTTTTGCATATCCACACCGGTTAACGGTACTCTGAACTTGGTTCACCGTCAATATATTGCCTATTTGGTCGATAGACCTCCGTCTACGGTGTCCCGTGTCAACACTATCAGCACTTATACAGCATAAATTTGCTTTGTCACACGTTCCTCATACATTCCATTCCCTCAGTTTCCAAACCCTCCATTCCTTTCTAAATCTTGAACACAACATTATCTCGCAAGCCGCTCTTCTCTCCTCACACAATTTCTTACCCTATTTTTTAGAGTCAGCCCCAACATACTTCTTAATGATCGCATTTCTACAGTAGTATTTTACTCTCACGTTTCTGCCTCACCCAAATTTCACTAGCATATATTAATATAGGGACTAAAACAGTATTGTAAATTGCCATACGCACCTTTTCCGACTTCTCCAAATTGAATAGAGTTTGCAGAAAGGAGTACATTATGGCGGCGCACTGACCGTTTGTAGCCGGAGACGAGCTCGAGGTAGTTGGTGGGCGTGACGTGGTTGGCGCGGCGCATCTCGCGCCACATGCGCAGGCAGCGGCGCGCCACGGACGCGTGCAGCAGCGACATGGTGCGCGCCACGGCGCCGCGCACCAGCTCCTCGCGGCTCTCCACCACCGACTCCTTGCGCCGCACCTGCCCCCGACATCGCCCTCATCATCACTACAGCCACTGATGAACATAGTCCTCCCCTAAGTAACGCCACAAAGCACGGTCTTGAGCCAACTGCATCCATCGACTTCCTGCATGTCTTACCAAGTCGTCACTGCATCCAGTGGAGAGGACACCCTACATATCGTCTAGCGCTACGAGGCAGCACTCGAGAACTTTTTTTCCCCATCGATTGTAAATGTGAAATGATGAAAAAAATGACCTTGATCGATAGGTCTAGGTTAGGTCTGTATAGGTCAACCAAAAGTTTTGGTAGATCACCTATAGTTTTTTAATAAATAAGGTCCTGTAAACGTCGCAATCACCGCGGCAGTGGGAAGACTTTTTTTAGAGCCTAGGGAGATTTCGAATCACTGGCTGAATTTTAAATTTTTCGAAATTAAATCATGTTTTTACTTATACATCCACAAAAGTATCCTTAAAAAATTAAAACATTCCATGCAATAGTTTTGTTTTAAAAAAAATCATAAATATATATTTACAGATTATAAATATAAATCATTCTAATAATTATCTATTTTATATAATTAATTATTTTTGAAATTTTGAATTTAAAAGTTTCTCCTTGAGAATTAACACTTGAAACTATTGTTTTTAAAAGTTTGTGGGCGTGCGTGTTAGGGTGCGTGTATGTATACTTTTGTTGGCGAATTTTTCGTCTCACATATTTCGAGATTACATATATTACCTGAAAGCGAATTTTATTTTGTGCCTAATTATTGAATATCTGACAACTTTTCGTACTTATAAGTTCGATGCAATTGTTTTAAACAATAAAAACTAACTTACAATAGGTTCCGAAACGGAAAGCTAACAGTGAGAGATGGCCGATACCTTCTTTACTTACGTTAGAAGCCTCAAGGAAAACCAGCCGACCTCGTTAATAAATGTGTTAACACACTAACGCCCTCTTCACAATTAACAACGAAGTGAACATATGTATAACGGATGCACAACAATGACGTCACATTTCGCTAGATTCACTACATTTCTATAACCAGATATAAATTTGATTTATGTAACATTCATTACTCGTCCAGAGCTCGATCAAATTATACTTTTCTTATAAGAAACGTTTGTTATTAGATCTATACTAATATTATAAAGAGTGTGCGAATTTTGTGAGTTTGTATATATGTGGAGGGTAATCACAACCTACTATTGCACCTGTTTTATAAGTTCTTTCACCATTTGAAAGGAAATGCAAAGAACAAAGAATCAATTTCATTTTAAAACCTCAGAAATCGGTACAGTGTGGTATGCCAAGTTTAAAAATTATATCTACCTAACATTTAAGAAGGATTTGTTCAATCCGGATAAAGTCAGAGCGGGCCGCTAGTTTGCAATAAAGAAAGTCATTAAAGACCGTTCTCTGGCCCTGCCTGAACGAACTAGTATCGCACGCAAAATAAATTTAGTATTACTCAGCACTTCCGTTAGCGGCACTGCTCTTATCACACCACAATCGCATGATCAATACGTACGATTTAGCCAAAAAAATTGCGAAATAATAATTGAAATACCCTTTGCCCAGTGATGGAGGCGAGCAGCTCCACCCCTTCTAGGAACTTGAAGGCCACTTCTAGCAGCGCCTCCCGCGGCCACTCCAAGAACCAGTTGGTAGTGGTGGCGTTGATCAGGGCCGGATATTGGCGGATGCGGTTCCTGGGTAAAAAGCGTAAAAATTAGCATACATTCGAGATTTATCATCACCATCAGCATATTAAAGTCTCCTCTAGATATTTGCCATAATTGCCACGCAGATGGGTTGGCAACCGCAGTTTTTATTATCCAAAAGATTCTGCTGCCCAACTCATTTCCCTCTGCTGCCTCATACGGCAACCACGGGATAATATAAGGTACTGAATGTTCTTACTCCGCCACTACACGGTTATTCACGGTTAGTTGAAATGAGACGTAATAAAATGAAATCCTTAAAATTAGTTTTATTCCGTGTGAATTCGCCTAAAAAACACATACATTCGGAATTCCGTTTCAAAAAAACGTTTCGGAATATCAACGCATCATATCATATCATCATAATATGGTGGTTCTGAACGCAGCAAATCCATATACCAAATACCTATCACACATGTACAGTAGTTTTCCTTTCGAAGTTTTGCAGATTCGAAATTCCGCATGTCTACTTGTGCGTTCGGAATCCCACACGGAAAAAAGCCGTTCCAAACGCAAGTCTTTCATAGATTTTTTAAAACTTGGATCACACATTCGTAAATCCCGAAAGGAACGCGTCCAGTGACTCCAGTGTGCATCGTACGACCGAATCTACTAGGTGTGTTTATGTATGTTTTTCTTTATTTAACTTTAATGAACCTTATATATTAAGTACACGCTCAAAAGGCGGACTTAATGCTAAAATCATTATCAGCCAGTCAACCTAAGGGCAGTGATATAACTACGAAGGCATTTACAAAGAAATATACATATATACATACATATGCAAGAATATACACATACATATAAACATATACACAAATATATAAATTTATATATTAAAAGAAAATATAATATAATATAAGATACATAAAGATACGCAATATACCTACTGATGAAACTAATGTACAGAGACTACAACTATAAGACGGAACTTAGCAGTTGTAAAGCAATTTTAGAATATGATCTCGAACATTCTTCTTGAATGTTTGTTTGCAGATCATTCCATAGGCGCGCGGCTTGGACAGGAAACGATGAAAACATCAAACTCCAACGGTGAAGGGGTATTCAGAGAGCAAGAGTGCTCCGATGGACAAAGCTGTCTGTCATGAGTGTCGCGCAGGAACTGAAACTTACTCGTAATTTTCAGATATTTTTACATATAATCATATATGCATTTCTCTTTTCGTAACCCTTCATCTTATTTTGTTTAAATTTCGTCGAAAGAGTTTATAGACATAGATATTTTGAAAAATATCTCAGGATAGATAGATCTTTTTATATAATATTGACTACATTGCAATGCGACCTTAAGGTGTTAAGGGAATGCACCCAGTAACAATGATACAGCAACGATGCATAGCAATCAAAAAATCGTTGTCCATATTCGCTGGCAGAATGTCTGGATGCCTAGCGTCTCTCAACTGAGCCTTGTTATTCCGAAGTGAAATAAACGTACGTGTGTGGTATATTTACAGAATCTTGAATCGTTAAAGTCTTTACCATGAATCGTAAAGCGTCAGTAGCCTTCTACTAGGGTTTGAATCCGCCATTCGACTACTGTCGTGAACCACTTTTAACTACAGATGGGCAATACACCCACCTGGGTTTAAACCCAGGTGGGTAAAAACCCGGTGTTTTGGGTGTTTTGGGTTTAAACCCAGTAAATTCGAAAACCTATTCTACTTCTCGACCTCACGAAAGGCTAGCTGGTACAGTAGGCCACAGTTCCAGCTACCGGTTTCCGTATTTTCTTTCGATAGACCAAGGCAACATGAAAGACCGGATATGGTTAGCTTAGCCACAATGAAAAGAAAACCAGAACAAACAGAGAAAAAAACTTACAAAAACAAAGAAGAAACAAACTGTTCCGAATGCGCAACATTGTATGAAGAAAATGATAAAAGAAACGAGCATTTTGGAATGTTAGTGGCTGAAGATAATTAATAGAATCAGGCGTTACTTTGCGGAAATCCATTATATAAAAGCTTTTACAAAAATTTACTTCGCAAATATCCGCGTTATAAAATAAAATGATGTGTCTTACCTAGTATGAAGAAGCACCTCCCGCCCTCCCTCAATTGCGTGCACTATCCCCGTCACCACTAATCCCAGCACCGCTACTTCCAACACCACTACACTAGGCAAGACACACCACTGACGATAATACGACACGTGTTTCGCCTCTACACGAGGCATCCTCAGGTGATATAGACTCTACGGTGGCTAACCGCTAAGTGAGCGGCGAGCCAAAACAAGTGCCTTTTATACAAACCGATGATGCAACCGCTCTCTACCTAACGAGCGAGCGATTGCGTCATGCGATAAAACATGCGACCAATCACCGCTAGACTTACGCAGCCGTTTGTAAAATTAAAAACAAACCGCCGCGCAACGCCTTCATTATTAGAGAGCAGGCTTGAAGATATTTAAGAGAGGTGAGTTAGTAACATTTGTTTGTTCATTCAGCAATGCAACGGTATTATTATTACTTTTTATTATCTCTAACTGTTCCAGCACACACAGCCGCAGCCCTTTATTACACGTATGTAAGACTTTAAAGGAGTGGTCGTTGGCTAGGTTGTGTCCAGTGTCCAAAAGATGTTTGGCAAAATGGGATTTATCGGGATTGCAATTCCTGTACGCGGCTAAATGCTCTTTATAACGTGTCTCGAAATTGCGACCAGTCTGACCCACGTAAACGGCGTGGCATTCGTCACAAACAAGTTTGTAAACACCTGACTTTTGACGAATATCTAACTTATCTTTACTATTACAGATATTTCTGAGAGAATTGTTTGTTTTGAACGCCACATGAACGCCGTTTTGTCGAAGAGTATTAGCTACTTTTTCAGATATGGGGCCTAAGTAGGTCAAACTGCTCACATATCGATGAACACTTTGAGGTTGAACCGCGTACAGAGAGTTGCGAATAACATGCTTTTGTTTCTTTTTAATTAAATTGTTAATGAGATTTTTTGAAAAACCGTTAGAGACCGCTATTTGATAAATTATATTAAGTTCTTTTAAATAATCTTCTTTACTTAATGGGACAGTGAACAAACGGTTAATGTAACAATAAAAAGCGGCTACTTTATGTTGCCATGGATGACATGATGACGCGGGGATGACCGTGTCGGTGTGAGTTGGCTTTCGATAAATTTGGAAAACATGTGACGATTCTTTTCTTGTTATTGTTAAGTCAAGAAAATTAAGGGAACAATCTTGTTCCAATTCAAGTTTAAATTTAATTTTGTCATGGACTCTATTTATTTTATTGAGGAAAACATCCAGTTGTCTCCTTGTGCCAGTCCAGCAAATAATTATGTCGTCTACATATCGATAGTAATATAAGATATTTTGATTGACAACTATATGTTGTTTTTCGAAATTATCCATGAAAATGTCCGCCATCAGGGGACTTAGAGGGGACCCCATAGCTAACCCTTCTTTTTGTAAATAGAAACGGTTATTAAACCGGAAATAGTTTTGTTTCATACAGAGAGAGGTTAAGTTAAGAAGATCATTTGTTTCCCCGGGATGTAGACGACGTTTTTCAAAGAGATCTGCGAGTATACGCAAACAGTCAGGAGATGGGACATTTGTGAAAAGACTATCAACGTCTAAAGATAACAATATGGATTTAGGAGGAATACGAATATCTTTAATTTTGGAAATGAGATCTAAGCCATTTTTTAGGCTGTAAGTGGGGTTGAATCCAGATTTCTCTCGAAGGAGGAAGTTTAATTTTTTAGCAAGGAAATAAGCTGGTGCACCAATATATGAGACAACTGGACGAATAGGAACATGTTCTTTATGTATTTTTGGTAACCCATATAAAATGGGTGCTTGAGGATTCATTGGAACAAGATTGCTCCGAGACAAGTTGTGATCGGGAAAAACATATGATGACTGTTGTATACATAACTTAATATCCGAAGTAAACTTTTTGGTTGGGTCAGACTCCAATAGCTCAAAGTCATCACCTTGGATAACATCGTTAACTTTCTGGCTGTACCCACTACTCTCCATAATAACAACAGTATTGCCTTTATCGGCTTTAGTAACAATAAGGTCGTTTTCCCTTATTCTCTGCTTTAGGGACTTAAAAACAGGGAACTCAGGATTGAAATGGGAAGACGTGGGCACAGCCCGAATTTCATTAGCTACCAAACTTTTAACGATGTTATCTTTCCTCCCGATCACAACAGCCACCTCCGCGTCAACAGCCATAGTCTCTAACGATTTTTGGGAGACCGAAGGTGTTAAATTATACTTTAGGCCTTTATGTAAAAGGGACAACTCATCTGTTGGAAACTGGACATCGGAAAGATTTTTAACTCGGGGATAAAATTGGTGATATTCTGTATGTATGTCGTTATTACGATTACGGGATGAAGAGGATACAAGTCGTTGTAATTTACGGGACTGAATTTGATATTTCTCATAAACAGCCATTGAAGCAAGTTCTCTGGCTTTCCCATCCAAAATATCAAATTCAATATTATGTAATTTATATGAAAGTTCAGAGTATAATACTTTAAGGTGGATTTTTAAATTATCTCTATTGGAAAACCAACGACGACACTCCTCATTAAGCCAAATGTTCTGAGCTTTAGAAATAGCAATACTGGCCGATCGACTATTTGTGCTGGAACGTATTTGAATATAATTGGGAATAACATGAAGTTGTTTGCACTGCTGATTGAACCAAACATTTTGGGCAGCAATACGATGGAGTTTTGTTAATTTGACATAGAGTCTTGCCTGGTCGGCCGTGCTAGCCTTTTTAATATAATTAATAGAATCAGGCGTTACTTTGCGGAAATCCATTATATAAAAGCTTTTACAAAAATTTACTTCGCAAATATCCGCGTTATAAAATAAAATGATGTGTCTTACCTAGTATGAAGAAGCACCTCCCGCCCTCCCTCAATTGCGTGCACTATCCCCGTCACCACTAATCCCAGCACCGCTACTTCCAACACCAC